GCAGGGGCGGCTGCTGCAGGGGCGGCTGCTCCAGGGGCGGCTGCTCCAGGGGCCAGGGGCAGCTGCTCCCTTTTTTTTTTTTTTTTTTTTTTTTTTAATAATTAATTATTTATTTTAGGGTTTGGCAGAGCGCACTCGGCGCTGTAGAGGCGGCTCGCGGGCTGCAGGGTGGCTCGGGCAGCAGCGAGGGGGGGGGGGGGGGGGGGGGGGGGGGGGGGCGCGGCTCCCCAGGGCGCCGCGACGGGGCAGCGGGGGGGGGGGGGGGGGGGGGCGCGCGCGGCTCCCTAGGGCGTCGCGACGGGGCAGCGGGGGGTCGCGCGCGGCTCCCTAGGGCGTCGCGACGGGTCAGCGGGGGCCGAGCGCGGCTCCCCAGGACGTCGCGACAGGGCAGCGGGGGCCGAGCGCGGCTCCCCAGGGCGTCGCGACGGGGCAGCGGGGGCCGAGCGCGGCTCCCCAGGGCGACGCGACGGGATAGCGGGGGTCGCGCGCGGCTCCTCAGGGCAGCGCGACGGGGCAGAGGCAGCGCCCACGGGCGACACGCGGCTCGGCAGGGCAGCGCGCTGGCTGCAGGGGCGGCTCTCGGGCCTGACGGGCCTGCAGAGGCGGCTCGGGGGGGCCTGACGGGTCTGCAGAGGCGGCTCGGGGGCCTGACGGACCTGCAGGGGCGGCTCGAGGGCCGTACTAGCTTGCAGGAGGCAGCGCGAGGGCTGCAGGACGGCACGCGGGCAGACCGAAGGGCAGGTCGCACGGGGGCGCACGAGGGCGCACGTAAGGTAGGGCGCACGAGGGCGCACGAGGGCGCACGAGTATAGAAAGGCGCACGAGGGCGCACGTAAGGTAGGGCGCACGAGGGCGCTTCTAGCGGAATAGTGGGCCCGTAGGAGAAAGCGGTCCTAGGTAGCAACCTAGGCTCGTGATACCATGTTAGAATGTAGAACTGAACGAGAATGTGTGAAACTAGGCAGCAGGGTGATACAAGTAGGAAACCCTAGCAATGTTGTACCCCCTAAGGCTAAACCCACTATAGCCTACACAATATGAACATGTATAATGTTTGACAACACGGACGGTCAGGATCGAATGTGGCGACGTTTTCGGCTTCTTCATGAAGTTCCTCGCGACAACACTGGATAGTTGCGACGTGCTGCTGGGACGTGATTGGCTGCGACGGCACAACCCCGTCATCAACTGGACAACGGGATCGTGCAGCATCAACAAGCACGAGGGGCTAATTAAACTGCCTGCATGGACACCTGACTACATCCAAGCCCCGTGCGTCCAAGCTATCACTATAGCTCGCCACTTCAACAGGGGCGCGCAGCTGTTCGCTGTTTGCTTACGCGAGTTGGCAGTTGACACCGACGGAAAGGACATCGAGAAGTTGTGTGCAACAGTACCGCCGGATTTAGCGGAGCTGATTCGAAGGTACCCCGACATTTTCCCTGACGATCTGCCACCTGGCCTACCACCAGAGAGACCTGAGGACCACAAAATCCAGCTGGAACCTGGCGCGCAGCCGACTGTTCGGACACAGTGGCGGTTGACCCAGCCGGAACTCGAGGAGCTGCGAAGTCAAATTGATGCCCTGTTGGAGAAATGATTCATCCGGGCCAGCACATCTCCCTTCGCAGCACCGATCCTGTTCACTCCGAAGAAAGACGGTGGGCTTCGCATGTGCATCGACTATCGCGCGTTGAACCGGGCGACCATCAAGTCTCGCTACCCAATCCCATGAACCGACGACCTCCTCGACCAACTTCGCGGCGCTCGCTATTTCTCGAAGATTGACTTACGTGGCGGTTACCACCAGATTCGAGTCTTCGCCGACGATTGTCACAAGACTGTGTTTCGCACACGCTACAGGAGTTACGAATTCACGGTGATGCCTTTTGGCCTCACGAACGCGCCTTCGACATTTCAGTTAACAATGAATAGGGTTTTTCGGGATCTTCTAGACCGATGTGCCATCGTCTACTTGGACGATATCCTCATTTTTAGCAAGACACGATAGCGGCATCTCCGCGACCTTGACGCTGTGTTTAAGCGGTTGCAGGAGAATCGACTCATCACCAAGGGCTCTAAGTGCAAGTTTTTTAAGCAGGAGTTGGAGTTTTGGGGCCACGTCATCTCACACGGCGGTATTAAAATCGACCCGGCGAAAATCAAAACCATACAGGAGTGGAAGTCCCCGACGAACGTCACGGAACTATAGAGTTTTCTGGGGTTTGTGAACTACGTCAGGCGGTTTATCCCGAATATGGCGGGGATAACCGGCCCGCTGACCGACCTGCTGCACAAGGACAGGAATTTTGTGTGGGGGGAGGAGGCCGAGGCGGCTTTCCAGGAACTCAAGAATTTTCTCGTTTCCCCTCCTGTGCTGCGCATCGCCGACCCATCGAAGCCGTTCGAAGTCGTCACCGACGCCTCTGATTTCGCCATCGGAGCTGTGCTACTCCAAGATTTCGGGAACGGATTGCAGCCGATAGCATACGAATCACGCAAACTGTCATAGGTGCACTGGAGTTCCCCGATTGATCCTAGGGAAGGGTTACAGGCATGTTGGCCTGGGGGGTTATGCGCGCACTCACCCGCTACACAAACAAGCCATTTTATCCCAGTGGTAAGTGGTTGAGATTCTGACATGCTATCAGAGCGAAGGTCTCGGGTTCGAATCCCAGTGTGCACTTCGGGCATCCCAGTGCGGGGGGGTGTCAGAGGTGCATTGGAGTTCCCCGATTGATCTTAGGGAAGGGTTACAGGTACGTTGGCCTGGGGGGTTATGGGCCACTCACCCGCTACACAAACAATCCCTTTTATCCCAGTGGTTTGTGGTTGGGATTCTGACACAAACTGCGGGCAACTGAGCGCAACTACCCGATCCACGACAAGGAGATGCTCGCCATTATTCATGCGTTCAAACAGTGGCGCTGCTATTTAGTGAGCGCCGACGTCACTGTTCGCACGGACCACAAATCCCTACAGTACCTGCGAGCCCAGCCCAACCTCAACCCGCGACAAATTCGGTGGCTGGACTACATGGAGAGCCACTTCACCTACCGCATCACGTACAAGAAGGGGGCAAATAACACCGCCGACGCCCTGACCCGACCGACAGTACAATCCGCTGCAGTACTCATCACCCACTCGAACCCGCTACTTACAGGACTATTCACCCATGGCTACACTACGGACCCGTTCTTCACGACATGAAATCATCAGCAGGCCACAACGCATAAAGGGGATTATTACCTAAAAGCCGGAACCGACCGGATTTGGGTTCCCGCTTACAGGCTGCTGCGTGAACTCCTTATCCAGGAGGTCCACGATTCGAACTTCTCCGGACACTTCGGGGTTGATAAAACCCAGAAATTACTGCACCGTCAATATTACTGGCCTGACTCCTCTAACGACGTGCAGCGATATGTGTCCTCATGCAGGGTGTGCCAAGCCATGAAATCGACACGTCGACGACCAGCTGGGCTGCTGCAACCCCTCGAGCCACCCGAACGACCGTAGTAGCAAGTGACAATGGATTTGTCACGAGGATGCCAGCTGGGCCGTCCGGCAACGACGCTGTTTTTGTCGTCGTCGATCGCCTCACGAAAATGGCGCACTTCGCACCGTGTCGTACGACAATCACAGCCGAGGAAACTGCTCGCCTATTCATCTCAACGGTCGTGCGACTGCACGGGATCCCCTCGGCGATCATCAGCGACCGAGATCCGAAGTTCACGTCGAAATTTTGGAAGGAGACGTGGGCGCAGTACGGCACGAAACTACAGTTCTCCTCAGCATACTACCCGCAAACGGACGGCCAGACCGAGCGGACCAATCAGACCATGGAGCAGTTGATCAGAACAAACAGCCCCGACCCTGCCCGCTGGGAAGACTCACTAGCCATGTTGGAGTTCGCCTTCAACAACGCCCCGTCCAGCACGACTAATCACTCCCCGTTTTTCCTTAATTACGGGATGAACCCGACGGTACCTACAGCGACTACTCCCGACAACCCGGTCCCAAGGTCACAAACATTTGTGACGGAACTTCAAGAAGTTCGCGAAAAGGCTGCGGACGCAATTCGCAAGGCGAATATCACTTCCCGAAAATACACCGACCTTCTACGACGGGAACTCGTCTTGACAGCTGGGCAACTAGTGCTCCTTGACACGAAGAACCGCACCTGCCCGGCCCGTCGAAACTACGGCCACGATTTTGTGGGCCTTTGCTACATTAGTCTGTGCCTTCATTGTATTCTCAGTTCGTTTAATCACCGTCTCGTTATTCGTTTACCTGCGCACTCTCTCTTACATCTCATAACAGTCAGTGTATGCTAATCCCTCCTCCTTACCTCCTGCATATCTAACATCAATACAATTTTGCTTGATGTCTCTCAAATATGCATGATAATACAATTTCCCCGAATTCCTCCAACAATGGGGCTATAGAAAAATTTATTGGCTGTTCTCATTATTAGCTCATATCGTTTGTGCATGGATATCTGAACCATAAGGCAAATCTCAATACTAGATACTGGGTGTTGTTTTCATCACAACATATGTATAATGTAATACTCCCCTTCTAGTGATCGCCTTGTAAAGGGGAAATCCTGAACCTGGCATAGCCTTCCCTTGTCGGCAGCCACATTCATTGTTCTGATCTCTGCCTCATTTATTTTCAAAGGATGTTCATGGTCGGATTGAGAGGAGAGGGTGAGCAGGCCGAGTAGGATTTTCTTCGTCGCCGTAGGTTCCGGAACAGGAATGAATCATGCAGCCGTTCAGATCTGCCGCTTCCGCAGCGCGAGATAGGTTTTGTCGTAATTCCTGGTCGTTAAATCCGAGCGACTGAATTGTCTCTTCCTTGTTCATTGGTCTAGCAGGTCCTTATCACTGTTCGAACAACCCTGTCATTTGTCATAATACTTCGTTGAACTCGTCCTGTCCGTGACGTCATTCTGCCATAGATATTCGTTTATCCGACCACATATTTGTTTTTAGAAAATGGCGTCAGGCGGTTCGCACCGTGATCCGCTTCCGTTCTTCGGTCCATCCACATCCATCCCCGAGCTTACCCGACTCTCGCGCCTCTCCAGCCAATCGGCTCCCGCCAGCTGTCACTGGAAGCTGTTCGACCGTCAGACTCGCTCTGAGTTGCTGTACCCGCCGGGAGACGATCGCGGACGGGTAGCCGTCTGGTCGCTTAAGATCTCGCCGTCAGGCAAACGGCTAGCCGTCATCTGGGGTTCGACAGTCACTATTCTGTCGCATTATGATGGATATTCGGCTCCCGTCGGCAGCTTCAGCATTCCGTCAGGTACTATTCCGTCAGGTCTGTCTATGTTGTAACCATTCCGTCAGTTCTATTGAAGTGTTAGTTTTCCGTCAGTTCAGTTGTGCTTAATCAGTCTGGTAATGATTTCTAGTGCATGACTTCCTGCAATGCGTGATGCTGTCTTTTTGCATTGGCATGAACGTCTGAGATCGCACTATTTCGTGTCAGGTTGTGTTTATGGTGACTACGACAGTAGTTCCTTGGTGTATATTTGTCGTAGATTCTCGTAGCTTTGTCCACTTTCCAGCACACCGTTTTGAATGTTTCATGATCATGTTGTTTTCGTTCCATTTCGTTATGACGCATGATCAGGCAAAGAAAGGGTTACCACAACGACCAGTGTAACCGCGGAGTGGAGCGACGACGAGAGGGTCCTCGCTGTGATTGGTCCCCACGCTCTCTGGTTGCTGGATGCACAGGGGCTGCTGCTTGGCGAATTGCACGCTGCCACGTGGCAGCCTCGGGGATCCATTGTTGCAGGCTGTGTCCTTCGATCTGCACACGACTTGGAGCCTGACAGTGGAGTGAAATCGTTCAGGTAAGCTTGCGAGTGCATTACCAGAGCAGTGAAATCTTCAAGGTAAGGGGTCGGGTCCCTTTCTCATATTTACACTTGAGGAGCCTCAGAAGGCTGTGTCTTAGGATCCGCACACGATTCGGAACCTGACAGTGGAGTGAAATTTCTTAGGTAAGAAGTCCGTTTTCTGACACACGCTTGTTCCCCTAACCTTCCCCCCCCCCCCCCGTTTTGCCCTCAAATGCCATAAAAATCCAATCCGTTACCCATTGTTCCAAACTCTAGGTCGACTCATTTCATGTCTCTCCTCCCTCCCATCCCCTCCTCTCCCTTCCCTTCCTCCCAACCCCCCACTCTCCCAACTACAATGCCTATAACATCGTTTTGGTCTTGTCCCACCGTCACCCCGCCGTTAGTTAGCCACAATCCCGCTCCCACTGATTCATGCTGTCTTTTTCGCTCCTCCCAAGCACAATCCCCCCCCCCCCCCAACCACAGTGCCTATGAAATCGTTCTGCTCCTGTCCCACCCTCGCCCGCGCCTCTGGCGAGCTACAGGCTCCCACTCTGAGTCACCCTATTTTCCTCTTTCCTCCCAACCACTCCCCCTCCCCTCTCCCCCCTTTCTCCCAACCACAGTGCCTATGAAATCATTCTGCTCCTGTCCCACCCTCGCCCGCGCCTTTGGCGAGCTACAGTCTCCCTCCCACTGCCTCCCTCTGGCGAGCACGGGGCGAGTTCAGGAGTTTCAGGTGTTTCTTCAGGTGCTGCGTCAGGAGCCTGGGGTGCGCGATCAATGAGGGTGAAGGCGAGGGGGAGGGCGTATCTGCTGGAGGGCAGGCATCAGGGGAGCGTGGTTCGCTCGGACTTTCATCCAGTGCTGAGTCTCCTTGCAGTGGCCGGCATTTGCCCCTCTGGTAAGATCCTGTCTGTCAGGACAAAGCGTATTCGCGTCCTCTTCAACTCCTTCTCCCCGAGACTTCCACCCAGTGGTGAGTCTCCTTGCAGTGGCCGGCATTTGCCCCTCTGGTAAGACCCTGTCTGTCAGGACAAAGCGTATTCGCGTCCTCTTCAACTCCTTCTCCCCGAGACTTCCACCCAGTGGTGAGTCTCCTTGCAGTGGCCGGCATTTGCCCCTCTGGTAAGACCCTGTCTGTCAGGACAAAGCGTATTCGCGTCCTCTTCAACTCCTTCTCCCCGAGACTTCCACCCAGTGGTGAGTCTCCTTGCAGTGGCCGGCATTTGCCCCTCTGGTAAGACCCTGTCTGTCAGGACAAAGCGTATTCGCGTCCTCTTCAACTCCTTCTCCCCGAGACTTCCACCCAGTGGTGAGTCTCCTTGCAGTGGCCGGCATTTGCCCCTCTGGTAAGACCCTGTCTGTGGCGAGCATGCGTCCCTCCTCCTGTCCATCCGGCATATATGATACCCTGTATGCTAGATGACTTTTGAGGCGCCTCAAAAGTCGTCTCCTCCTGTCCATCCGGCATATATGATACCCTGTATGCTAGATGACTTTTGAGGCGCCTCAAAAGTCGTCTCCTCCTGTCCATCTGGCGTATATGATACCCTGTATGCTAGATGGACCCCCACCTCCCCCTTCTCCCGCCCTCCTTCCACTTCCACCTGCGCTTCCCCCTTCCCATCCCCTTTTTCGTTCCTTTTCCAGCCCTGGTCCGCCCTGCTCTCCCTTCCACCCACCTGCGCTCTGCTCGTCTGTGCTTCTCTTCCCCCCCCCCTTTCTTCCCGTGCAGTTGGCAAACCGTCCCCCACGCGCTCCCCCACGTCCCTCCTCCTGTCCATATGGCACATCCCCGACCCGCACCACCCCCTCCTCCCGCCCTCTTTCCTCTGGCCCGTGCGTCACCACTTATAAGTTCCCCTCTCATTTCCCTTTCTCCCTTTCCCGGCCCTGTTCGCCCCTGCCCAACCCTCTGCTCCCCTGCCCTCTTCTCGTCTGCCCCTTCCCCTTTCTTCCCGTGCAGTTGGCAAACCGTCCCCCACGCGCCCCCCCACGTCCCTCCTCCTGTCCATATGGCACATCCCGGACCCGCACCACCCCCTCCTCCCGCCCTCCTTCCTCTGCCTCCTCCGCTTCTCCGATCCTCATTTCCCCTTCTCGTTTCTTTTCCTCCCCTGTTCTCCCCTGCCCTCCCTTTCACCCCCCTGTCCACTGCTCGTCTGTGCATCTCTCCCCTCTTCCTGATTTTTTCCATGCAGTTGGTAAACCGTCCCCAACACGCCCCCCCACGTCCCTCCTCCTGTCCATATGGCACATCCCTGATCCGTACCACCCCCTGCTCCCGCCCTCCTTCCTCTGCCTCCTCCGCTTCGCCCCTCCTCCCCTCCACCCTCCCCAATCCAAACCCTCTCGCTCCAGAACCCCAGGCTCGGGCTCCTCTCTAGGGTTTTGGGACGAGGGTTTAGAGGGGGAGGAGGATGAGGAGGACGACGAGGAAGGGGAGGAGGCGGTAGCAGAAGTGAGATTCTCCCCTGATGGGGGGTCACTAGCGGTGGTACACCACCGGGGGGCTTTGTCTCTTATGCGGATGTCGGCTAAGGATTCTGAGCTCATGCTGCTGCCTAGGAGTGTGGGGAGAACTGTGGGTGTTCCCTCTGGGGCTGCGGTGGAGGAGGAAGGGAGTGTGGTGGAGAGGGGTGTGGAGGAGTGGGGTGTGATGAAGGACGGGACGGAAGAAAAGGACGGAGAGGAGGGGGTGAAGGAGAAGGGAGAGGAAGGGACACAGCAGAGGAAAGCAGTGCGGTTCCGAATGGTGCAAGGCGGTGTGGTGGATTGCGTCACCAGTGTGACATGGCTCAGCACAGATACCATAGCAGTATCCCATCGCTCAGGGAGAGTAGCCATAGCCACTGTGCACGATCTAAGCAATCTCACCGGCCCGTTCCCTCTAGTCTTTGGCCCCCGGGCGGTCCTCTGCTCGTCCAATCTCCTCACGCCACGTGGCAGCAGCAGGTCTGGAGTGTACCCGCGAGGGGTGATTGTTCTAGAGCCGGTCGCGAGACAGGTGTCGGTTCCTGATTGGTCGAGAGGGACTTTTGGAAACGTGGCCGATTCCCGTGGGGAGGGGGTGCGGGAGAGCGGGTGGCGGGTTTTGTCTCTTGTGGAGCAGCCGGCGGCGGTTATGGTGCGGGTGTTAACTGAGGAAGGTAGACTAGGGGATGCGCTGGGGATGGCCCGGGCGGCAGGGTTGCATTCAGATGTGGTGTTTAAGGCTGCTTGGACGAGCATGGGTGTGGGAATTTCCGCAGGAGAAGCAGCAGGGGAAGGAAGAGGAGGAAGAGGAGGAGGAGGAGGAGCAGGAGAAGGGGAGAGTGGGAGGTTGTTGGGAGGAGACAGGGGGCTTGCTGGTAGCGAGGAGGAAGGGAAAGAGGCCGGGAATGACGATGCTGAGGGGAGTGAGGAGGAGAGAGAGGAGGAGGAAGAGGAGGAGGTATCAGCAATCACAGACTACTTGTCTCGAGTGTCTGACATCCCGTGGGTGGTGAGGGAGTGTGTGAGTGTGGTGTGCCGTACTGCAAAGGGCATGGATTTGCTGTTAAGTCTGGGACTTAGAGCCACAAGCAGTCTCAAGGAGGAAACCCTAAAAGCAGCAGCAGCAGCAGGAAACCCTGATGTGACGCTATCAGGTGTAAAGCTGGCTCTGGTACGATCCAGGTTGCAGCTTGTGTCCTTTCGTGACCGCCTACAGAGCTACCTAGCCCTCAACATGGGCCGGTACGATCCCCAACAGTACGGCATCTTTCGTCTTCTTCCCCTCCACTCTGCCGCCCAGCGGTTCGCCTCCGCCGGCCGGATCTCAGCCGTCCACATTCTGCTGCAGAGGCATCCCTTCTCACTCTCCCCTCACCTCCTCTCCCTCCTATCCTCTCTTCCAGAAACCCTCCCTCCTCACTCCTATAGAGCAATTCTCCCTGGTGCCACCCCCCCGCCTGTGTCCCGGACCAGAGGGGCCGATTGGGTGGAAGGGCGAGGGGTGCTGCAGATGATTGGAGCAGGGTCGGCTGTAGCAGCTGCAGATTCAGCTGCTGCTGTAGCTGTTGCTGCTGGTAGTGGCGGCGGCGGTGGTGCTGCCACTGTAGCATTTGCTACAGAAGAGGTGGTGTTTCTGTCTCAGGGCTTTAAGTTCCCGTCCAAGCCTGCCGTTGAGGCTTGGTACCTCTCCCGAGCCAGGGAGATTGAGGAACGGACGGGCCTGCTGCAGCACTCACTCGCGCTGCTGGATCTAGGTTTGGCAGCAGGCTTGGCAGAGGTTCGGAATGCTATGGAGGATTATGCTGAGCTGAACAGAGTAGTATATGGGGCATGCGGGGCTGATAATAAGGGGGATGAGGGGGTTAATGAGGGAGGGGAGGGTGGGGAGGACAGGCAAGAGCAGGAGGGAATGGAGGAAGTAAAAGAGGAAGGGAGTGGGGAGGGTGATGAGCAGAGGAGGGAAGGAGAGGGTCAGGGTCAATTGCAGCAGCAGCTGCAGCAGCAGCAATCTGCTTCTGTCTCTACGGCTGTCGCCCCAATCGCCCTAAAATGCGCCGAGCTCACTCTCTCCATCTGGCTACAGCTTCCCATAATCCAACGGTTCAGATTCGTTCTCGGGCGGCCTCGCCCCGCATCCATCGTCTCACGCCTGCACGAGCGCGCTCTGCCAATCCTGTTCCGCCACCTGGCGTCGCCGCAGCAGGTCTGGAGCCTGCTGGAAAAATGGCTAAGGGAAGAAATCGCCCCTGTCAAAGGCAGAATGGCTGTTTTCTCCTCCGTTGTGGCTGAAATGGCTAAGGGAAAACACGGCTGTCTCTCTCTCTCAACCTCCATTCCCGCCTCTCTCTCCTCCCCTCCCATTCCCTCCGCTTCCTCCTCCCAACCCTCGTCCTCATCTTCCCCTCTTCCGTTCTCTCTCTCTGATCTCGCCTCTCTCTCCCTCCACTGCCTCCCACTCTCTGCCTCTACTGATGAATGGAGCTCTATGGCTTTCCTACTCAGAGCCATTCTAGACTCTCACAAGACTGCTGCTCTAGAGGAGCAACACAGGGTTAATTCTCCTGCTTCTTTTGCTGCTGCTGGTGCGGGTGGGGGGAGGGGCAGGCGTGGGGGAGCTTCGGCCCGAGCCTCCGGCGCATGCTTGGAGCCGCTAGGTTCGGAGCAGCAGGAGGCAGTGGCGAGTGCGCTGCTATTGGTGGAAGCAGGAGCCGTTCTTGCCACGTATGAGCTCCCCACACCCTACACCGCCCTCGTCCAATCACGCAGCGACACGTCAGCAGCCCTCCACCTGCTCCGCAGCCTCCTCTCCGCCTTCGCCCGCCGCCAGCCGCCCCCGGAGGATCCCGATTGGCTGGATCTCTTCCACCACGTCAGCACTTTGAAGCACTCCGCGTTCCTCCCTCTTTCCCCCGACTCCCTCCCTTCGGAAATGGCCAGAGTGCTGCTAAGGGAAGGGAGATTCGCGCTAGCCAGGCAGTTTCTGAGAAGCGGGGGAAGCGGGGGGACTGGGGGGAGTGGGAGAGGAAGAGGGGGAGGGGAGGACGTGTGGTTGGAGGAAGATGCGGTGTTGAGTGAGGATCGGGTTGAAGCGCTGGTGATTGGTGCTGCCAGGAACTTCTTCTACTCCTCCCCGACACTCGACTCCCCAGATGTAAGAGTTTGCTGATTTGCTCGTGGCGTCCCGTCAATCATTCCGGCCCACCTCCCTCCCGCACCTGCTGCCCCTGCACCTGTTCCATGCAACCCACCCAACCTCCTTCACCAACCACCCGACCGTCTTCACCGACCACTCAAACTCTCCCATTTTCCCCTCCCTCTTGTGTTCCCCTCCTTTGCCTCCTTCCCTCTCCTCCCCCCCCCCTCCCCCTCCTCCTCCCCTGCCTCTCCCCTCCCCTTCCCACACACCGCAGATCCACAGTGCATTCGCCTATCTGGACATACTCCCACGCAACCCAGCAGCAGCAGCGGAGAGGCAGCTCTTCTCAGCCCTTGTCATCGACCTCCCAGCGTGTGGCCTCCACCTGCTCCCAACCCGCGATCGCCTCGATACTATACACCAAGTGCTCAACCTCTGCCTCTCTGTTTCTCCACCCCTCTCTTCCACTTCCTCTGGTGTTCCCTTCCCCCCCCCTTCCCCCCCACCACCCGCAGATCCACAGCGCATTCGCCTGTCTCGACATACTCCCGCGCAACCCAGCAGCAGCAGCGGAGAGGCAGCTCTTCTCAGCTCTAGTCATCGACCTCCCAGCCTGTGGCCTCCACCTCCTCCCCCTCCACCTGCGCCAAACCCGCGACCGACTCGATATTATACACCAAGTGCTCAACCTCTGCCCGTTCCCTCCTATCACCCCCCTCACCACCACCGCCACCACCACCTCCTCCTCTTACTCCTCCTATTCCTCCTCTTCTTACCCTTCCTCTCACGCCTCCCCTTATTCCCCCTCCTCGGCGTCCTCTCCCTTCGCTCCGGTCTTTTCCGTCGATCTCGCGAACACAGGAGCTCCTGAGGTTCTCACCCTGGCCTGGAAATTAGGGCTGACGTCAGCAGCGGATGAAGGGAGGGTGCTAGAAGCGGTGGCACGAGCAGCGGCAGCAAGGGCGGATATAAGAACGGCTAGAAAGGTTGTTCAGGAGCTTATGAGTAGGAGCTATGGAGGTATATGGGATTTGTGCGCTGCTTTGGCTAGGGGACCGGCTAGTAAGGGGGGAAGGGGAGGGTTGGGAGGAGGAGGCAGGGGCGGAGGGATGGGCGGGTTGGGGAGGCAGGGAGGGAGGCTAGGGAGTGGGATGCAGGGGCAGCTGCAAAAGGGGAAGCTGTCGCGATCGGCTGTGGAGCTGGGTGCGGGTGAGGGGAGAAGGGTTGGTGTGAGTGGGAGAGGGAGAGGCGGAGCGGGATTTGAGAGGGTGGATGGGAGTGAGGATGGGGCGATGGGTAGTGATGTTGGTAGTGTGAGCGATAGCAGCAGCAGCAGCACGAGCCTGAGCACTATGATTGGCCGAACAGTTGCTTCTGCAACTGATCTGTCTGCTGATGTCAGCGTAGATGAATCCGCCGGCAGTGCAGCAAGCACCACTGCTGACGTGGACGCTGATGTGGATGCTGACGTGGATGATGGATCCGATGACATCAGCATGCCAATTCGGCGGGAGTTTCTGGGGTTTGCTCTGGCTCATTGCGACGAAGCTTCCCTCCCGGACCTACTAGCCTCGTGGCAAGGCTTGGATGCCACGGAACGGTGCGTGGCGCTAGGTGCGGCGACAGGCTTGGTAGTCCCGGGCCTGCGAGAGCAGGAGGCGCTTCTCCCGGACCTAGCTGCTGGCCGAGCCTCGGGCAAGTGGGAAGGCACGGAAGTGCTGGTGGTTCCCGAAGCTGCTACAGCCCCTGCTACAGCCGGTGCTACAGCCGGCAGTAGCAGCAGCAGCAGTATCAAAACCCGAGGGAAGGGAGGGAGCTCTGGTCTTACCACCAGCACTGGCAGAAAACTGGTTAGTCTGGGTGGGGGCCGGGGGGCGATTGGGAGGGATGTGGGGCGGAGGGCGTTGGCGCTGGTATCGAGTGATGGGGAGGCATGGGGGGATAAGCAGTGGGAGGAGGTGCCACGACTGCTGCTGCCGTTTGCCTGCCTGCACTTGCCCTGGATGCTACAGGTGAAAACCCGCCGTGCTGCTGCTGCTGCCGCCGCTGCTGCTGCTGCTGGGGCTGCTGCAAAAACTGGAGGGACAGCATCAGCAGCAGCAGCAGCAGCAGGCGGAGGGGGAGTGGCAGACGCAGCAGCAGCAGCGGATCCCATAGTCGAGCAGATAGTGGTGCTGATTCTCCACGTGCTCGCGTCCTGCCAGGTGTCGCCCTCTGATAAGCTCCTGACCGAAGCTGCCCGGAGCGCCCTAACTGCCGGGGACATAGTCTCTGCTGCGGCAGCTGCGGCCGGTCTGTGGGGGGTACCTGGAGCAGGAGTAAGGCGAGTGGGTGGCTTGTCAGGTGCTGCGTCAGGTGCTGCGTCAGGTGGTGGATCAGGTGGTAGATCAGGTGCTGCCGAGTCAGGTGCCGGGCCAGGTGGAGGGGTAAGTGCTGGTGGTTCTGGGGAAGCGGAAGGGAAAGAAGTTAGCCCTACAGCCGCTGTTGCATCTGCTGAGGTGGCGGCGTGTGATTCGCTGGCTATGGCGTTTCTGATGCAGGCTGGGGATTCAGTGCGGGCGGCAGGGGTGATCGACGCTGAGATGGCGAAGCGGGACGGGGCGGACGCAAAGAGGCGGTTCGTGTTGCTGCTGCTGCAGTTCTCGTCGCTCCATGCCACACTCTTCCTGCTAGCTGCGCAGGTGAGCAAACGGCTTTGCATTCAGGCAGGTGGGATGGCAAAGCGGGATGGGGCGGATGCAAAGAGGCGGTTCGTGCTTCTGCTGCTGCAGTTCTCGTCACTCCATGCAACTCTCTTCCTGCTGGCTGCTCAGGTAAGGCTTGGGCATCTAAGGGGCATTTTGAGTGAGGCGTTGGGAGTTGAGCTGAGCTGAGCAGTTGGTAAGATGGCGAAGCGGGACGGGGCGGATGCAAAGCAGCGGTTCGTGTTGCTGCTGCTGCAAATCTCGTCTCTTCACGCCACGCTCTTCCTGCTAGCTGCTCAGGTGAGTGCGCAAAGAGCATCCCAGGGGTGGGTGGGGGTGATTGATGCTGAGATGGCGAAGCGGGACGGGGCGGATGCGAAGAGGAGATTCGTGCTGCTGCTGCTGCGATTCTCTCTCCCTCTCTCTCTCTCTCTCTCTCTCTCTCTCTCTCTCTCTCTCTCTCTCTCTCTCTCTCTCTCTCTCTCTCTCTCTCTCTCTCTCTCTCTCTCTCTCTCTCTCTCCGCTTTCTGCCCCCACACACGTTATTCCCCCTTTCAGGCCAATGAAGCAGCGTTTGTGGGGTCGCTGCTGCTGTTGCCGCCAGTGCTGCTCGCGCGCGTGGCAGGGGAAGCTTCCAGGAAGGAGGAGCAGCTGGGGGAGACCGGAGCCCTGGGGTCCAGGCCGGCAGTCAAGAGTTCAGGTGAGTGTAGCTGTGCAAGCGGTGGTGTGCGGCGCTGTGAGGTGGTGCTGACGATTTAGCCAGACACATCTGCAACCCAACTCTACACTCTCCTTACCCAATCCCCCAAACCACTTCGTCACTCTTGCAGCCTGCACGTGCCAGCTGTGCAAGCGGTGGTGTGAGGTGCTGTGAGGTGGTGTGTGGTGCGGTGGCACTGACTGACTGCTCTGCCGCTCCCATCCTCCCTCTCTAACACTCAACTCCCTTCTCTCTCACTCACTCATCCCCTTACTCTGTCTTATCCCCTTACCACGTCACAGCCCGCGCGCGCCAGCTGTGCAAGCGGTGGTGTGAGGTGGCGCTGACGATGCAGGGGCGGCTGCGAGTGGTGGAGGACACACGGGCGCTGCGCGCGCTGCTGCCCCGCGCTGACGTGGCGCGCTTCGTGGCGCGTGACGTGGCGTACATGGAGGCTGCTATCGCCTCATTGGTCGACGAGACCGATTCTGCTGCTGCTACTGCTGCTACTGGAGGGGCCTTGGCAGAGGCAGTGGGACCGATGCCTCACGCCCTCGCCTCTGCCCTCTCACTCGCTCAGCTCTACCACGTGGACTCCTGGCAGGTGAGGGTTGTTGGTGCTGTTGTGACCAGTGCTGCTGGTAGGTATTGCAGCCAGCACAACAGAATCTGCTGCTGCTGATGCTGCTGCTGCCGGGGGAGGAGGCATGACTGAGGCAGCAGGGCCGATGCCTCACGCCCTCGCCTCTGCCCTCTCACTCGCTCAACTCTACCACGTAGATGCCTGGCAGGTGAGTGTAGAATTGGCTGCTGGGTTGTTGGCTGCTGTTGTGACCAGTGCTGCTGGTAGGTATTGCAGCGAGCACAACAGAATGTGCTGCTGGTAGGTATTGCAGCGAGCACAACAGAATGTGCTGCTGCTGCTGGGGGAGGGGCCATGGCAGAGGCAGTGGGGCCGATGCCTCACGCCCTCGCCTCTGCCCACTCTCTAGCCCAGCTCTACCACGTGGACTCCTGGAAGATGAGCATAGGATTGGCTGCTGTGTTGTTGACTTGACAGCTGGCAGGTGAGCGTTTAGGTCGAATGCTGTGCTGTTGACGGCCGGCGAGAGGAAATTGGTGGCGATACTTGCAACAGGTACTGCTCACTTTCGCTTCTTCTGAAACAACAGAGAATCCTGAAGAACAGGTTCTTCTGGTGTAACATGGTTCTGAGTTATCAGCTCTTTTTTCGTCTCATGTGGTGCAGGTTCATCTGACGTACGTCCGCTCTGTGCTGCTCTCTGATTGGCCGGAGCAAGATATTGTCACTGAGGTGGAGGCACACAAAGCCGCCATCTGTACCCGTCCCACGTCAGCCTTCTCCTTCCTCTGGACCTCCGTGCTCCCCCGCTTTCTCACTCAAATACAGACAAAAACCCACACTGACACAGGGTTACATGCTCAGAAACACCCCCCCACACTCCCCACCCTCGCTCCCTACCTCCTCCGCCTCCTCTCCCACTGCCTCCTCTCCTCGCTCTCCCCTCCCCCTCCTCCCTCCTCCCCTCTCACCCCCTCCCCTCCTCTCTCCCGCCCGCTCTCGCTCCCGCTCCCACCAACCCCTCTCACCGCACTCAACTCCTTTGTATCATCCGCACAGAGCGCAGCATCCCTTGCTTCCAGGCTCTCCCTTCTAGGAGAGCAGCTTGAGAAGGCAGGGGGCCTTCAGCCTTCACTGGATGGGTGGGTGCTTCTGGGGGCGGCTGTTGCTGGTGCAGGCACAGCAGGAGCAGTTGGAGGAGCAGAAAATAAGGACAGTGCTGGTGTTATGGAGGTGGAGAGAGCGGTTGAGAGGGAGATAGAGCGGTGCTTCGACGGATCCTCTGTGCTGGCTGCTGCTGAGATCATCTTGTCTCTTTCTGCCGCTTCTACTGCCACTGCTGCAACAACAACTGTGCCACATGCTGTAGCAGGAGCAGCTGCTGGGTTGCCTGCTTCGTCAGGAGTTTCCACAGATCCAGCCTTCCAGGACCGCTTTAACCAGTGTCACTTTCTCTGGCTCTTTGCTAAGTGCCAGTTGAGACAGGCTGGCGTGCTTGCCGACTCATATTCCCCAAAGGTTGATATGGAAGAGAGGAGGAGTGACGGGGTGGCAATTGGTGACAATCAAGGCAGCAAGGAAGGCGAGAAGGAAACCGGGAAGGGAAAGAGGTTGAGTCTGGAGGGGTTGCAGTCAGCCCGTGTAGCCATGGCTGGATCTCTCTCCCTGCTCTCAGAGGAAAAGCGGCGGGAATTTACGCTCCTGCTGCTGCAGGGATGTGAGCGGTGGGTTCTAGAAGCGTGCTCTGCAGGGGAAGGCAGTGGAGCGAAGAGAAGCGGGGTGAGAGGAGGTGGTCGTGGGAAGAATGGGAGGGAGCGGAGGGGTGGGAGAGGGAGGGAGGGAGGAGAGGTGCGGAGGGGTGTGGAGCTTTGGCTAGATGTTGTGGGGGATTGGATGGGGTGTCGCGGTGGGAGGTTGGACGGGGGAGAAGGGAAGGAGGATAGGGAGGAGAGGGAGGAGAGGGAGGAGAAAGAAGAGTCTGTGGTGGAGTGCGGGAGATGCATTCAGAAGCTGCTGACCAATGGGGTCGTGACACGTCAGCAAGGTGTGCTACTCCTCCGGTTCCTCTCGGACTCGTTGCTGAAGACCCAATTGTCCTCGGATGAGAACAAGTCAGCTGCCACGTCAGCTGCCAGGTCAGCAGCCAGGTCAGCAGTCCATTCAGCACAAGAGACGGACCTTCAATTTCAGGGTAATTCACCCCTGAATGGAGGCAAAATCTCTCCTGCACACGCTTTAACCCAGGCTTTAATGCGTCAGATGGTTCTCGTGGGGTGCCCCTTACTCGCCCTAGTCGCCCTAGCCCAGGCCACACACGGCCGTGACAGCTGGCAGCTGCCTATTGGTGCAAACCAGCGGCGGCGTGTGCTGACGTCAGCAAGGTCAGCAGGAGCCAATCAGGGAGCGGGACGAGCAGGCGGGAAGATCGGGAGAGGAAGGGAGGTAGGAGTAACGGCAAGTGGTGCTTCCAGGAAGCTTCCTGGTGATGCGGGCAGCGAGACGGGGAGCACGGGCGGCGAACAGGAGGAGTTTGCCATGGGTGACGTCAGCATGGCGGCTGGTGACGCCAGCAGGGGAGGCAGGAAGGCGGAGAGAGGAGTGCGCGGGCGGGGAGGGAGGGCTGGTAGGACTAGTAGGGGAGGAGGGGGGCGAAGGGGAGAGGAGGAGGAGGAGGGAGAAGGAAAGAGTGAGAAAGAGAAGGAGGAAGACCCTATGGACCTATTTGCTTCTATGGGCTTAGTTTCATCTGCTCCCCGTGCCGCTGCTGCTGGTGCTAGCAGCATTGGCAAGCCTGAAGCTTCCAAGAAGAAGCCTCTGGTAGTCTCCAAGGCTGGTGGTAGGCTCGGGGCGGTGAAAAAGGGAGGCTCGGCAGCTTCGGCACCAGCTTCGGTAGAGCCAGAAGGTTTAGCCCCAGGCTCAATGCTTGGTTCGGTTGAATCACTCCCGGATATGGCTGCAACCGCTGCCTCAGGTGCCGTTTCAGGTGATTCTTCAGGTGCCCTGTCTGTTGCAGTTTCACCTGGGGAGGGCGGGCAGATGACAATGGACTTTGCAGCAGGGGCTGCTGGAGAGGAAAAATCCGTTTCCTCCCCACAGCCGAAACCCCTGACACCAATAGTTTCTCCTGCTGCTACTCCTGCTACTCCTGCCTCTGCTGCGACTACTGGTGACTGTAATATGGCTGGTGCTGGTGCTGAAGCTGCTGCAGCTGTTGCCTCTCGTCCTGAGATCAGTATTGTGGATCTGTACTTGTCGGTATTGCGAGAGCTTATGGGAGAAGGACCGGAGCTTCATATGCATGCTTGTCCTGACCGGTTAGCTCAGGCGATTATGAGAGTGATTCTTTCACTGGTGGAGGCGAGGGAAGGGGAGGTACAGCAGGTACTGAGTGAGAGAGATGGGGGAAGTGAGAGAGAAGAGGAGGAGGAGGAGAGTGGGTGGGGGCTTGATTTATCAGGGAATGAGGAGGAAGAGGATGGGGGGGAGGATGAGGAGAGTGGGTGGGGGCATTTTGAGGTTCTTGTTTCATCTGTGCGCTCTGCTGTGTGGAGGCTGCTGGTGCGCGTGGGAACGCAGGAGGGGGAATCAGCACTGACCCTAAGTGCCACACTTAGCAGCGACACTGCTGCACACTCCCCTGTGGTGCAAAGTGCCACACTTAGAGCGGCTGTTTTGGATGCTGTGAAGGCTGTAGCTCCAGCCTCGTCTGACCTATCAGCACCTGCCACGTGGCTCTCTGGGAGAGGGTTCTTTGTGGATGCTGTAGGGCTCGGGGTGATGAGCGGTGTAGAGGGGTGCTGGGGGGTGTGGGATCTGGAAGAGGTGGGAGAGGAGGAAAGATGGGTGGGAGGGGATCAGAAGGATGACGTGGCACTGGACAGGTGGCGCTGGGCGGCGCTGCGTTCCCGCGCGATCGTGCAGTCTGACTGGCCGGGAGAGCTCGCTGACGTGGCGCCACTGCTGGACGACGTGGCAGCGGACGGCAGCTTCGGCAGCATAGGTTCGGCAGTGGAGTCGTTCAAACGAGCCTTCTTCATTCTGGATAGCGGCGCAAGGGGGAGGCAAACGAATGCAGCAGATACTCAAAAGCAGCAGCAGCAGCAGCAGCAGCAGCAGCGTGAGCTATCCCTCCTGGCTCTTCTTGCCTTATGGGACCCTCTCCTCGCTCCCAAGTGGTGCCATTCCGCTGCCACCCCTGCCACCACAGCTGCTGCTGCCAATGCTGCTGGCACTGCTGGTGCTTCTGCCGCCACTGCTGCAGCTGGGCTGCATCCGCTGCACGAGTGCTGGTTCCTGCCTCTCCGCCATTGTGCTCTCTCGCTCCCTGCTGCAGCAACAGCAACCGGAGTAGCAACAGCAGCATCAGCAGCTGCGACACAAGCCAGTCTCCTCGTGCCGTCGCTGCTGCTGTCTGCTCTTGACGCGGCTGCCTTCCTGCCATCCGGTAAAAGGGCAGCAGGGCGGATGCTGCTCTCACGAGACGAAGCAGAGCAACTTCTGGCAGACACCGCTGCTGCTGGGAACAGTAACAGCGGTAACAGGGTTACCAGCGGTATCAGCGGTAGTGGCAATGGTAACAGTGGTAACAGCAGTGCCCTAACAGCGGCCTCTCAAGCGGCTCTTTTTATGCTTAAAGTGGCTCTGTTGCTGCCGTACCCCCAGGTATGGCTTCAGTCCATGCAGCTAGTGAAAGTGGCTGCTGCTGCTGCCGCTGATGCTGCTGCAGAGGCTGGTGGTGGGGGTAGAGGGAGAGGAAGAGGCGGGTGGGGTGATGGGTGGGGGGGAGAGGAGGAGGAAGAGGAAGAGGAGGAGGAGGAGGAGGAAGAGGAAGAGGAGGATGAGGATTCGTTTTACGATGAGGAATATAGTGATTATGATGGTGGGAGGGTGGGAGGGGGGAGGAGGGGTGGGTGGAGGGCGGGTAGGAGAGGAGGGAGGAGAGGAGGAAAGGGAGGGAAGGATCGAGGACCGTCATTGGATAATGAAGCTCTAACGCTGCTGTTAGCAGCTGATATCGTGCGCCAGATGGCGGATGCTCATTCGGCGGTGGTTCGGCCGCTGCTGGGAGCCATGGCTAGGGTTATCCCCCCTCTAGCGGTTCAGTTGCAAGAGGAGCGGAGGAGGGAGAGAGAGCGGGAGGAGAGAGGGGGGGTGGAGAGCGAGGAGGGGGAGGGAGGAGAGCCGGCGAGGAGGAACGGAGGTGAAGGGAGTGAGCAGGTGGAGAGTGGAGTGGGGTTTGGAGAGAGGAGGGGTGGTGGGGGTTGGAATGGGGAAGAGGATAGAGAGGAGGATGAATTGAGAGAGGACGGTGATAAGTTTCAGATGAGAAGTGAGCAGCAGCAGGGACAGAGCGAGCAGCAGGGGGGACAGAGGAGAGGTATGCTGGGCTCGCTTCTCTCTCATATCAGCGCACTCGCACCGTTGCCAACCGGGGATGATGACGATGTTGGTAAAAGTGATGATGATGGTGATGGGATTGGTAACAATGACAAGGAAGTGCATGGTAGGGAGTATGGCAATTACAGCAGCAGCAGGGCTGGCGGTAGCAATAAGGGTAATACCAGCAGGGAGGAAGACAGCAGCAGCAGCAGGGGAGACAGCAGCAGCAGGAATTGCGATAGCAGCACGGTGGGGCCTCCGCCTCTCTATCGCACAGCCTTCCCCCATTTCGTCGCCTCTCTCACTGCCGCCCGGCAGTACGAGCTTGCCGCCCCTCTTGCCCTGCAGTTTCTGGGCAGGCCGACGTTTTCCCGCAACTGGGCAGCTTCTCGGGCAGCTCTGAAGGAATTTCTTGTGAGCGAGCTGAGGGCTGCGGAAGCAGCAGGATTTGGGAAGATGGGGAAAGGAGATTCCGGTATATCTAACGGGAGACGTTGGGAAGCTGAGGTTTCAAGGGGTGATAGTAAAGAGAGCGGTGGTGGTGGTGGTGGTTGTGCTAATGGTGAAGGGGAGTTGGTGTATCTGTCTGGAGCGTTGTTTCACATCGGTGTGAATCTTCCAGACGTCTTGCTACTCGCTCTGCAAATGCTACAGATTGATGCCTAAGTTGGATTTCAATTCAAGAGATAGTACAGTACCGTAGCTACAGGTACTTGGGGACCTGGTTAGCCAAGACTACCAAGTTTCCTATATCAAGTGGAGTGGAGGCTTTGAAAATGTGATGTCAGTGCTCCATCCAGTCATGTTGCTTAGATGTAAGATCATTTCAGCGGAAGGACAGCAATGATGAGTATTGAGTTTTACGGGGTACAAAGGTTATAATAATTATACCCCACTCTGCATCAAAAACCTAAAAGCTGGGTCCAACAAAGACTGGAGAAATACCACAAAACTCAATCAATACAGACATGCATTCAATAGACATTCCACAGGTAGCAAAAACTAGTGGGCCTGTGTAACCAATCACTTGCAGCCATCTGTCAGACCAGCAACCCGAATAATATTTTCTGATGCTGCGACAGCAACCAGTCACATCACATGTAGCTACCACATGCCAGATCAGACAGCTGAGGAGGCGAATGAGATGCTGCAAGTGAGTGAGTGAGGGAGATGAGGAGTGAGTGGGTGGGGGAGATGAGGGCGTGAGAAGCACTGAATCGACTGACATGAGCAGCAGTCACATCACATGTAGCTACCACATGCCAGATCAGACAGCTGAGGAGGCGAATGAGATGCTGCAAGTGAGTGAGTGAGGGAGATGAGGAGTGAGTGGGTGGGGGAGATGAGGGCGTGAGAAGCACTGAATCGACTGACATGAGCAGCAGTCACATCACATGTAGCTACCACATGCCAATCAGACAGCTGAGGAGGCGAATGAGATGCTGCAAGTGAGTGAGTGAGGGAGATGAGGAGTGAGTGGGTGGGGGAGATGAGGGCGTGAGAAGCACTGAATCGACTGACATGAGCAGCAGTCACATCACATGTAGCTACCACATGCCAGATCAGACAGCTGAGGAGGCGAATGAGATGCTGCAAGTGAGTGAGTGAGGGAGATGAGGAGTGAGTGGGTGGGGGAGATGAGGGCGTGAGAAGCACTGAATCGACTGACATGAGCAGCAGTCACATCACATGTAGCTACCACATGCCAGATCAGACAGCTGAGGAGGCGAATGAGATGCTGCAAGTGAGTGAGTGAGGGAGATGAGGAGTGAGTGGGTGGGGGAGATGAGGGCGTGAGAAGCACTGAATCGACTGACATGAGCAGCAGTCACATCACATGTAGCTACCACATGCCAGATCAGACAGCTGAGGAGGCGAATGAGATGCTGCAAGTGAGTGAGTGAGGGAGATGAGGAGTGAGTGGGTGGGGGAGATGAGGAGTGAGTGGGTGGGGGAGATGAGAGGAGTGAGTGGGTGGGGGAGATGAGGGAATGACAAGCACTGAATCGATTGACATGAGCAGCAGTCACATCACATTAGCTACATGCCAGATCAGGCAGCTGAGACGAATGAGATGCTTCAAGTGAGTGGGTGGGGAAGATGAGGAGTGAGTGGGTGGGGGAGATGAGGAGCGAGTGGGTGGGGGAGATGAGGAGCGAGTGGGTGGGGGAGATGAGGAGCGAGTGGGTGGGGAAGTTGAGGAGTGAGTGGGTGGGGAAGTTGAGGAGTGAGTGGGTGGGGAAGTTGAGGAGTGAGTGGGTGGGGAAGATGAGGGGTGAGAGGGGAAAGGTCAGAGGGGGGCGGGGAGGGGGGGGGGGGGAGGGGGATGTGGGGTGGTTAGAGAGAGGGAGACTAGGGTTGATGAGGCGGTGGTAGGGGAGGGGAGGGAGATGAGGGGTGAATGATTGTAAGTGTTGTGCATGATGTTGCTGTGACTGATATTGCAGCGGGGAGAAAGGACGAGGGTAAATGGGGAGCGGGGGTTGAGCAGTGAGTGTGGGGGGAATGGGGGGAGAAGGGGGGAGGGAGAGAGGATATGCTGATAAGGGGGACAAGTGTGGGGAAGGCAGGGGCGCGAGGGAGGAGGGAAGGAGGGGAAGGGAAGAGAGGGAGGAGCAGAGATGGGAGAAGAGATGGGTAGCAGCACTACGAACAGAAGGGGATGGGAGCAGGAGAGGAGGTTTGGGTTACGTCGGGTAGGTAGGTAGGTACGGCACATGAGAGGTAGGTTCGGGTTACCTCGGGTAGGTACGGCACATGAGAGGTAGGTTCGGGTTACCTCGGGTAGGTACGGCACATGAGAGGTAGGATTTGATTACCTTGGGGAGGTACGGCTTCTCCTCATCAGCAAAGGCTCGTCAAATGACCCAGACATAGCTCAGTGAGCTGCGTGCGGGCAGTAGGCTTAAGCAAAGGCTCGTCAAATGACCCGCTTTTCAATGCTGGTCAGGGGAGAGACTAGCGGAGTGATAAGAATGTGTATTTTGTGATAAGAAAGAATGAGGCTTTAATTTACCTTGGGAAGGTATGGCTTCTCCTCGTCGTCGAAGGCTCGTCGGATGACCCACTTCTCAATGCGGCCGTCCTCTTTGCGAATCATCTTATACTGAGGATCAATGCTCATTGCCACGTCAAGGAACTCCTTATCCAGGAAGGGAACGCGCGCCTCCAGCCCCCATGCTGACGTGGCCTTGTTGGCCCTCAGGCAATCGTACATGTGAAGTGCCTTGAGCTGGTTGGAGCGATGGGGTTGGGTTGAGAGCGGTGCAGGGGTGGGAAGTCTTTAGTTGGTGGTCAGGACAGGGGCAGACAAGAAACAAGCAGTGAAATGAATGGATTACGGCATAGGCACACCCACCCACCCACCCACCCACACCCACACCCACCCACACACCCAACCCTAACAACAAACTCACACACACTCACACAGACCCCACACATTCTCCCCCACCTTATGACACGTCTCCACGTGAAATTTCTCCTTGCTGGGCGCCTTGTGAAAGTACAGGTAACCCCCAAACACCTCGTCGCTGCCTTCCCCAGATAGCACCATCTTCACCCCCAGCGCCTTGATCTTGCGGCTCAGCAGAAACATGGGCGTGCTGGCGCGGATGGTGGTGACGTCATAGGTCTCCGTGTGGTAAATCACTTCGGAAATCGCGTCTATGCCCTCTTGTACAGTGAAGTGTAGCTCGTGATGGTTTGTTCCGATGTAGTCGGCTACTTCTTTCGCTGCCCGCAGGTCAGGGGCATTCTGAAAATGGGAAGAAGTGGAAGGATGGAAAATGATGTAGGACAAAAAGAATGAATACAAGGTGTAGAGTTGACGTAGCAACGATTGTTGAAGAAAAAAAAAAAAAAAAAAAAAAATCAGATGTCCTACCTCCAGACCGATGCAGTAGGAGTGAAGCTGAGGGCCTCACTGCTTCCCTGCTTCCGTAGACGCCAAATGGCGTTGCGCGACGGCGGCGACGAGCGAGGAGTCGAGGCCCCCCGATAGAAGCACGCCGAACGGCACGTCCGTCATGAGCCGCTTCACGACGGCCTTCTCGAACGCGGCATGCAGCGCGAGCGGGTCGTACGGCGCCGAGGGGATGTGCTCGTCGTACCACGCGGGGTTGTACCAGCGACGGAGGGTGTCTGGCGGTCAAGAACAGAGAAACAGGAAATTAGGAGCTACAAAAAAAGAGAGTACAAAATGGTTATATAAACAGGAGAAATTTCAGGAAAGAAGCGAACAAAAAAAAAAAAAAAAAAAAAAAAAAAAAAAAAAAAACAGCTTGGAGGCAGAAGACTCACGGTCTTTGCTGGAGTAGATATGGCCGGGCGGGAACGTCTCGAAGCGCTCGCAGTCGTCTTTAAGAGCCTTCATTTCCGACGCTAACCACATGGAACCGTCGCGACCCCAGCCGATGTAGAGCGGACACACGCCGATGGGGTCGCGCGCCGCGATGTACGAGCCGTCCTTTGTGTTGAGCAGCACGAACGCGAAGATTCCGTCCAGCTTCTGAACCGCCGCTTCGCCCACGTCTTCATACTGGAAAAAGGTGGTGATGGAATGATAGATATCGCATATTGTTAGGAGCTTACTATGTTGAGCAGCGTGAATGTTTCGGCCCGACGGACTTCGATGTGCTGACAGGGGAGTCTCGTTTCTGCACAACGTGGGCTTTGCGAAACTATCGAAAGAGATTGTACGGGAGATTTGGGTATTGAAAGAGGGAGTTTGAGTGGAAAAGTGTAATAACGGGGATGCCCAAATCACGCAAATTTATATACGAGAAAACGAAAAACGCAAAAGCCAATTTGCAAACCGGAGGTTTCAACAAATAGTGAGCAGTAAAAAGGTCCGAAACGATACTAAAATAGTGCACTCATCCAATCATTACGCACGAGATGCGCGATGACTTCGCAGTCGCTGCCGGTGTTGAACGTGTGGCAGTCCTGGAGCTCGTCCCTCAGCTGCTGGTAGTTGTAGATCTCGCCGTTGACGGCCACCACGATGCTGCCGTCCTCGTTGCGTAACGGCTGGTGGCCAGACGCCGGGTCGATGACGGCTAGCCGTTCGTGCGCGAGGAAGTTGTTACCGAACGTGTGCACGCCGCTCCAGTCGGGCCCACGGTGGCGCAGCCTGCGGGAGACACGTGGCATCGGGCCATTGACGGGAGAAGCGAAATGGGACTTCGAATTACGCGCGAAAGTCCATGAAAAAGCGTGGCTTTGCGATGCGCGCGATTGAGCGCACTAAGAAATCCTAGCTCTTTTTGAAATTAAGACTCGGCCGTGTGACTGATAGAAGCCGAGATAGAGATAGTTAATCGACAATTACATTGTGAGAATCATGGGAGGGTGGAAAAGGAGCAGGATTTCTTGCAATCGATTATTTGGGTAAATGCGGGCCTACCTGGCAGTGCACTCGAGGACCTTCGCTCGGGTGCGAGCCGAAGCATCAGCAGCTCCAAGAACCGCGAGAATTCCGCACATCTTGACGGTTGTCTGGACCGGATTGACGCCGGTTGTCGTCAAGTTCGCGAACGGACACGGCAGGCACGCGATTTAGCGAAGCTCTTGCGTTGATGTCGCTGGAGGCGAGAGCAAACGAGGAGAGAGAGCTAGTAAGAACTTCCGTACAGTGACGGAAGCAAATGCCTCGAAAACCACTCGCAGGAAGGAAGTAATCGAAGGAAAGCGCAGGAAGATGGTACTCGTGAGGAATAGAAGAGGTATTTTATAGACTTCCAGCGCTGAGTTGCACGCCTCGACATTCACTCAGACATTGCTTGCCAACTTTCAAATCTCCAGCTGTGGGGCGAATTGCGAAGAAGGGTGCGACGGTGTGGTTGAGTCGCTCATGCAAATGTGCCTTCGATTGGGTGCCAAGATGTTTCTTGGCTTTTCGTCAGTTTCGTATACAGGTAACCAGGGCTCGCAGGAATTCTCCCTGTCAAGCTGGCTGCAGAATTTTCCAGCAGTTTCTTGGGGGTTACTTCTCTTGCGAAGTCAGGAAGAATTTGCAGTCGCAGAGATTCGCACAAACATTTGACTGTGGGATGTGCGCGCTGGAATTTCGGGCCGCATTCATGTTGTGGCGCGGTCCACGAAGGCAATTTCGAAGTGAAATCGCGATCACTTCGTGATTGGCTAATCATCGTAATTACCGGAACAGTTTGGCATTCTTCCGCACATCAGCGCGCAATGCTCCGATGCTGCCTCAGCTGCGCCTTGGCGCAGGAAATGGCTGAGGCAGCAGGTAACCAAGGCAGTGCCTGCCTGCCTGTACAGTATGGCCGAAAGCTTTCCCTTCCGGCGCCGCCCTCAAAGTTATCCACAAGCCAGTTCACAGCACTGTACAGTGCGTGCGAAGTCTCCAGAAAACCACGTGGTTTTGTTAATTTCCACGAAGGATTAGCCACGTGATTGGATAAGCCAATTGTTATGGCTAGCCTCCAGCAAAGCTAGGAGGGTGTAGACTCACGGTCAAGATTAGGATCACCTATTCAGGTGTAGCATATAACAAGCGATACTACCTCAAATCATAAGTATATTCCACTTTATTCCACATTAATTCAAAAATGCACTTAAACTTGTGAATGGGAAGTGCAAGCCAGGCAATATGGGGGTGTAATTTATATAGACGGACACTACCTTAAACATGAGCGGTGAGCATGTTCATCCACCCAATAGCTAATTTACGAGCTAGATTTATCACTCAAATTGGCATTTTCACTCACAATAACCTCAACCTGCGAGATGGCTTGAGTCAACGACTGATTCGGCACTGCAGGCTCCTCTTCAAACATCACCGTGCCATACTTGAACAGCTCCTCCTTAATCCCTTCAAGATCCGCCACTATCTTGACCATCCGGGGCCGGGACATGGCTGGAGTGGCTGTGCATGTCATGGCGAGCCGTGCAAGCCGTAGAATGACATCGTCAGGAGCATCCAGATGAGGATCCTTGAAGGCTGCTACATCGCCACGTTCCACTAACGGGGCAGCCTGTATGGAAGCGTAAAAAAAGCCAAACGGAAATGAAATACTGATATGTAAGGAGGATGCAACATCGGAGGTCTGAACAGGTGAAACCGTGATTGGATGAACACTGCATCATGGAATGCAATTTCACATGTATTTGTATGTTTATTATTGGTGAAGCCATACCCATTTGCTGATGTTGATCGGGTCTTCGTATTTAGACACAGATACAATGGCCCTTTGCCCCGTCAGAAGCTCTAGCATCACAATGCCGAAGCTGCCAAGAGGAAAAGTGGGAGCACAGGGGGAGAAAAAAGGCAGGGGGAGAGAGAGTTTTTGTTCAGACGTTCTCAGAACTAAAATCTTTAGACACTGGCACAATGGCCCTTTGCCCCGTCAGAAGCTCCAGCATCACAATGCCGAAGCTGCCAAGAGAGAAAACTTTGGAGATGGTGGGAGATTGGAAGCAAGGGGGAAGAATAACATGAGGCATGCCATGGTGGAGTGGTGGTGGAGTGGTGGTGGAGTGGTGGTGGAGTGGTGGTGGAGTGGTGGTGGAGTGGTGGTGGAGTGGTGGTGGAGTGGTGGTGGAGTGGTGGTGGAGTGGTGGTGGAGTGGTGGTGGAGTGGTGGTGGAGTGGTGGTGGAGTGGTGGTGGAGTGGTGGTGGAGTGGTGGTGGAGTGGTGGTGGAGTGGTGGTGGAGTGGTGGTGGAGTGGTGGTGGAGTGGTGGTGGAGTGGTGGTGGAGTGGTGGTGGAGTGGTGGTGGAGTGGTGGTGGAGTGGTGGTGGAGTGGTGGTGGAGTGGTGGTGGAGTGGTGGTGGAGTGGTGGTGGAGTGGTGGTGGAGTGGTGGTGGAGTGGTGGTGGAGTGGTGGTGGAGTGGTGGTGGAGTGGTGGTGGAGTGGTGGTGGAGTGGTGGTGGAGTGGTGGTGGAGTGGTGGTGGAGTGGTGGTGGAGTGGTGGTGGAGTGGTGGTGGAGTGGTGGTGGAGTGGTGGTGGAGTGGTGGTGGAGTGGTGGTGGAGTGGTGGTGGAGTGGTGGTGGAGTGGTGGTGGAGTGGTGGTGGAGTGGTGGTGGAGTGGTGGTGGAGTGGTGGTGGAGTGGTGGTGGAGTGGTGGTGGAGTGGTGGTGGAGTGGTGGTGGAGTGGTGGTGGAGTGGTGGTGGAGTGGTGGTGGAGTGGTGGTGGAGTGGTGGTGGAGTGGTGGTGGAGTGGTGGTGGAGTGGTGGTGGAGTGGTGGTGGGAGTGGTGGTGGGAGTGGTGGGAGTGTGACATTTGAAAACTGGTCCATATCACCTAACGGACCAACGAATTAACCTGAACCCACCTGAACACGTCGTTTTCAGGGGTGACATTGCGTGTGCGCCCATACACAGGGTCAACATAGCCCGGTGTGCCAAACACTCTCTGCATGCTCTGATGCTCCTCAAACAACAAGGCATACGCGCATCCCACATCACACATCGTTCCCACCTGAACACGTCGTTCGCAGGGGTGGCCTTGAGTGTGCGCCCATACACAGGGTCCACATAGCCCGGTGTGCCGAGTAATCTACACTTACTCTATTGACCCCAAAAAGCAAAGCGTACATCACAAATCACACAACACAAACATCCCACAGCACAGTTCTCCCCACCTGAATACGTCGTTTGCGGGGGTGGCCTTGCGTGTGCGCCCATACACAGGGTCAACATAGCCTGGCGTGCCCAGCACTCGAGTAGAATCTTGAGGGTTGTATGCGTTGCCCTCTCCCATCTTGGTCAGCCCGAAATCAGCTATCTTGGCCTGTGGAAGGGCAAGGGCAGGGAGAAATCGGAAGAGGAAACATAAGGTAAGAATCACGAGTCGGCAGTCATCACTTCCCCTGAGGGCTGTGGTGTGTATGGTATTGCCTATTGCCCCCATACACAGGGTCAACATATCCTGGCGTGCCTAACACCCGGGTGGAGTCCTGAGGGTTGTATGCGTTGCCCTCTCCCATCTTGGTCAGCCCGAAATCAGCTATCTTGGCCTTTAGGAGGGAAAGAGCAGAGGGGTGGGCAGAAACAGAAGAGAAAAGATGCAAGATAAGTTAGCATCACGAGGAGTCAGACCCGAGTGGAGTCCTGAGGGCTGCAGGTTAGAAGGGTTTTTCAGATCTGCGTTTTTTCACTTGAATTTGCGTTTGTCACTGTTGTTCCTTTGCTTAAGCGTTCATTCAACCACTGCAGCCCTTCGAACATGAGTCAAGTCAGACCCGAGTGGAGCCCTGAGGGCTGCAGGTTGTACGCATTGCCCTCTCCCATCTTGGTCACTTTTGAGACGTCTCAAAAGAGGGCTGCAGGTTGTACGCATTGCCCTCTCCCATCTTGGTCACTTCTGAGACGTCTCAAAAGAGGGCTGCAGGTTGTACGCATTGCCCTCTCCCATCTTGGTCACTTTTGAGACGTCTCAAAAGAGGGCTGCAGGTTGTACGCATTGCCCTCTCCCATCTTGGTCACTTTTGAGACGTCTCAAAAGAGGGCTGCAGGTTGTACGCATTGCCCTCTCCCGTCTTGGTCAGCCCGAAATCAGCAACCTTGGCCTTCGGAGGGAACGGGATGGAGAAAACAGAGGGGAAGCTGTGCGGATAGCTGCTGGGTGTTATGAAAGTCGCACACACGCACACACGCACCCACACCACACATACACACATACCTGCCAGTTGCCGTCCAGCAGTATGTTGGCTGGTTTCACGTCCCGATGCACCATGGAGAAGCTATGAAGGTACTCCAGGCCCCTCGCTGCTCCAATCATCATCTCCAGCCGCTGCTGCAGGCTCACTGGCTTGGAGGCAAGATCTGGAAAATGGGAGGAGTGGGAGACGTTAGGCATGAAGCTGTGAAAGCACATGCACATAAGCACATGCACTCATGCATGCTGCTGCTGTACTCACTTCTCAGCAGATCCCCATTTTCCATGAACTCATAGATCCCCATTTTCCATGAACTCATAGATGATGATCTGCTCCTGCTCGTGCCCCTATGTAGTAATTGTCACTGTTGAGATGCCTTGAAACATATACACACATACACATGCACAGTGTTACTCACTTCGTAAAACTCGTTCCAGGTCCCCATTCTCCATGAGCTCGTCGATGATGATCTGCTCCTGCTGCTCCCATTGACCACTGTTGCGACGCCTCGAAACACATCCACCGTACTACTCACTTCTCAAAACTCGTTCCAGGTCCCCATTCTCCATGAACTCGTCGATGATGATCTGCTCCTGCTCGTGCTGCTCCTGAGAATTCTCAAAAGTGTACCCACGACTAGTTTGAAGCCTCAAAACACATGCATACAGACACATTCACATGCAGTGTGCTACTCACTTCTCAAAACTCGTTCCAAATCCCCATTCTCCATGAACTCATAGATGATGATCTGCTCCTGCTCGTGCGTCTTGGCGTCTGTTGTAACACAGTACCCCAGCAGACGGACGAGATGGGGGTGATGCTTGCTCGCCATCAGCTCTACCTGTGAAGGGGGACACAGATACACGGTGAGGGGCACATGGGACCGGATTCGAGACTCTAAACGGCACACGTGGTCTGCTCCTGCTCGTGCGACTTGGCGTCCGTTGCGACGCAGTACCCCAGCAGGCGCACCAGGTGTGGGTGATGCTTGCTCGCCATCAGCTCTACCTGTGCAGGAGGAGCGGGGGAAGGAGGGGAGCGGGAGGAGAGAGGGGGGAGTGTTTGGGGGCAGGTGGTAAGGAGTGAGTCTTGGTGTCTGTTGTGACGCAGTACCCCAGCAGACGGACGAGATGTGGGTGATGCTTGCTCGCCATCAGCTCTACCTGTTAAATGGATGAGAGGGGGGGAGAACAAAGGGGGAGCGGTAAGGATGCAAGAGACCAAGAAACACACGAGGCCTGAGCATCCCTTTCCTCCCCACCCATCCACTTTTTCTTTAGGCGCCTCAAACGTCAACACACGTGGTCTGAGGATCCCTTTCCTTTCCTCTTTTGAGGCGCCTCAAAAGCCCTCCCCACCCACCCACTCTTTCTTTAGGCGCCTCAAAAGTCAACACACGTGGTCTGAGCATCCCTTTCCTCCCCACCCACTGCAATCCCCACCCTGCCCCTCGTCCGTTCCTCTCCCTACGCCGCTCCGATTGCTGACTCACCTCCTTGTGGAAGTCGTTGGTTCGTATCTTGGCTCGCTTCACCGCCCACACCTGACGCTCCCCGGCCTCCTAGGGTTTGAGGTCTAGTGTCTAACGTCTAGGCACTGAGGTCTAGGTTGCAAGGTCTGGGACTTGAGGTCTAGCGAGCTCACCTCCTTGTGGAAATCGTTGGTGCGTATCTTGGCTCGCTTCACCGCCCACACCTGTGGCTCTCCCGCGTCCACTGTAATCCCCACCTCCCCCTCTCCACCCCCTCCTCTCTTACTCCCCCACACACTTCCCCTCCCACTTCCCCTCCCACTCCCTCTCACGTTCACACTCGCCCCTGTCACACCTGCTTCGCCACTATCTCCCCCCACTCCCCCCATTCCGCCCACTCCGCCCCCTCCGCCGCCCACTCTCGCACTGGGCGGAACCCCCTTGTACACGTCCCCATAGCCTCCGCTGCCCAGGTGGTTGTAGCTCGCCCAGTTGTCCGTCGCCTGTAGCACCTCATTCAGGCTGTAGCGCCGAAACAAGCCTGGGACTGAGGCAGGGGGACATGGTAGGGAAACGAAGAGGCATGGTTTGACTCATAAGCGGTTGACTGGGGGGAGGAACCCCCTTGTACACGTCCCCATAGCCTCCGCTGCCCAGGTGGTTGTAGCTCGCCCAGCTGTCCGTCGCCTGTAGCACCTCGCTCAGGCTGTAGCGCCGGAACAGGCCTGGGACTGGGGGGGTGGGGAAAAGGGAGATGCAAAGTACAAGAGGAGAGAAGGTTGTAGCACCGGAACATGCCTGGGACTGGGGAACATCATATATGGGGCGAACGGGGGGGTCGTCGTCGGCTCGGTTATGCCCTCTATCGGATCTGCCTTTATTGAGGATGACCATCAGGGGGAGACACGCGATAACAAGCACCCATGCTCCATTAGAAACGCCCACAATCACTCCGAGCGAGAAAGACTCACCAGCTGAGTTGGGCCCAGTAGCGGGTCTGCCTTTGACGAGGATGGCAAGACAGGCTATGACAAGAGACCCTGCTCCATTAGCAACACCCACAATCACTCCAAGCGAGAGACAAGAGGAGGAGAGGTGAAAGAGGTCTGGGAAACTCACCAGCTGAGTTGGGCCCTGTAGCGGGTCTGCCTTTAACGAGGATGCAAATCAGGGCGAGACATGCAATGACAAGCGCCCCTGCTCCAATCGCTACACCCACAATCACACCAAACGAGAGAGAAGAGGAGGAGGCGGAGGAAGGAGGAGAGGGAGGAGAGGAAGAAGGGGGGGCTTCAGTGAGAGGGGAAGGAGAGGGGGAGGTTGCAGGGGAGGGGGATGGAGAGGAGGGAGGGGAAGGAGAGGTGGGAGGAGGGGACGGGGAGGAGGGTGGGGAAGGTGAGATGGTCTTGGGGACACAGGTGGCACTGCCGTCAGGGAGGGTGCCTGGGTAGGTGGTTGCTGGGCAGGTGCAGGTGTAACCCGTAGGGTTACCACTGCTGCTGCTGGCCCTGATACTGCTGCTGCTGCTGCTGCTGCCGCCGCTGCTGGTTATGATGCCACTGCTACTGCTCCTGACATTTCGGCTGCTGCTACTGCCAATGCTGCTGCTGCTGCCGCTGCTGCTGCTGCTGCTGCCGTCGCTGCTGCTGTTGCTTGGTTTTGAAACACAAGTGCCCAGGCCACAGGGGTTGACAGGGAACGTGCTGCAGACATCCGCTGGGGAAAAGTGGGACAGACAAACAAGACAGACTTTTGAGGCGCCTCAAAACCCTTCTTCAATCACGTGACTTTTGAGGCGCCTCAAAAGTCGCAGGGGTTGACAGGGAACGTGCTGCAGACATCCGCTGGGGAAAAGTGGGACAGACAAACAAGACAGGTGGACCAGAAACAATGAAAACAAAGGTAAAGAGTCCAACACATTCTCCCCTGCAATACTATCTGCTCGCCTGTGTAGGAGGAGCAGAGCCTGCAGCAGCCAGGGCAGAGCTGGTAGAAGACCGACTGGGGGGTGTGCTCCAATACTCATGCCTGGATCACTGCCTGACTAGAGCTCTTGCTCGCCTGTGTAGGAGGAGCAGAGCTGGCAGAAGCCAGGGCAGAGCTGGCAGAAGCCAGGGCAGAGCTGGCAGAAGGCCGTGTGAGGAGTGAGCGTGTTCCATTCCGGTCTTTTACGATTGAATGTCTGCTCTGTGTGTGCTTACCCGCATAGGAGCTGCACTCTCTGCAGAAGCCGGGGCAGAGCTGGCAGAAGGCCGAGTGAGTGAGTGCCTAGGACTGTCTGTCACGAGTAACCAACTGGACAACCAGTTTATGTGCTGTGCTGTGCTGTGCTGTGCTGTGCTGTGCTGTGCTGTGCTGTGCTGTGCTGTGCTGTGCTGTGCTGTGCTGTGCTGTGCGGTGCTGTGCTGTGCTGTGCTGTGCTGTGCTGTGCTGTGCTGTGCTGTGCTGTGCTGTGCTGTGCTGTGCTGTGCTGTGCTGTGCTTTCAGCACACATGGGACTTACCCGCATAGGCGCTGCACTCTCTGCAGAAGCCCGAGCAGAGCTGGCAGAAGGCCGAGTGGGGAGTCTGATCCACCCCGCATGGTTGGTTGGTGGGACACTCAAGCCATGTACCATAGAGAGACCTGCGAGATGGATGGGGAGAATGGTCAGCACAAAGGGGAGTTCGAAGTTGGACGCACGGAGAGGAGCCAGGGACAGAGAGGAACCAAACCAATGGGTCTGCTCCTCCCCGCATGGTTGGTTGGTGGGACACTCAAGCCATGTGCCATAGAGAGACCTGACGAGAGGGGTAGAGAGGAGAGTGGCGGAAAGGAGAGGGTTGGACAGGTGATGAGAACTGTGGCCCTATGTTACACAAACATTTAAAAAAGAAACACATGTGCATTTGTTCTTTCTAGAAGAAAGGAATATGCTCTCACTCACAAGAGTGTATTATTTTCTTATGCGTGCGGTTCTTATGCAGGAGCTCACTTAGCCCCTTATAAGGGAACTCACATACGAGCACATAATGGAACTCACATACGAGCACATAATGGAACTCACAAACTCTGATAAGGAAAGTCACATACGCGCATAAAAGGGAGCTCACATGTTTGCAAGGCTGCTCAATGCGCCAAAGGCAGGAGGGAGGGAGCCCTTGAGCGGATTCTTTGAAAAGTCCCTGGGAAAAGGGGGATGAGTGTAATGGGGGCGGGGATGGCGGTGAGAGGAGGGATGGCTATGGAAGCAAAAAATGCTTGTGAGGGTTTTGAAGCGAGTTAAGGATGAGGGGAGAATGGTTGGAGGACTGGAAACAGGAGTTGTTGAAAGAGTGGATATAGTGAGTTGATTCTAAGGTCACTGCGAAATGAGTCTACGCGAAAAGAGTCGTGTCGACTTAAACTTCACCTCGCAATATTCCCACTCACAGAACGGTGGCTCGAGTGAGGCTCGCAAGAGATGATGGGGCCACCGTGTGATAAAAGTGTTGTTTTGAGATGTCTCAAAACTTCACCTCGCAGTATTCCCACTCACAGAACGGTGGCTCGAGTGAGGTTCGCGAGGGATGGGGGCACCGTGTGATAAAAGAACGCAAGTGAGGCTCGCGAGGGATGGGGGCACCGTGTGATAAAAGAACGCAAGTGAGGCTCGCGAGGGATGGGGGCACCGTGTGATAAAAGAACGCAAGTGAGGTTCGCGAGGGATGGGGGCAAGTGTTGTTTTGAGATGTCTCAAAACTTCACCTCGCAGTATTCCCACTCACAGAACGGTGGCTCTAGTGAGGTTCGCAAGAGATGATGGCACGGAGCCAGTGAGATGGTTGGCGCTTAGGTTACTGAGAGTGAGGATGGGTGGAGGGAATGGAGGGAGAGGATGGGGAATGGGATGGGTGGGGGGAGCGGATGGTGGGCGGAGATAGGGGAGGAGGTGAGCAAAGGATGAAGGCACAATGCAAGTGAGATGGTTGGCGCTTAGGTTACTGAGAGTGAGGATGGGTGGAGGGATTGGGAAAGAAGGATGGGGGATGGGATGGGTGGGGGGAGCGGATGGTGGGTGGAGATAGGGGAGGAGGTGAGCAAAGGATGAAGGCACAATGCCAGTGAGATGGTTGGCGCTTAGGTTACTGAGAGTGAGGATGGGTGGAGGGATTGGGGAAGAAGGATGGGGGATGGGATGGGTGGGGGGAGCGGATGGTGGGTGGAGATAGGGGAGGAGGTGAGCAAAGGATGAAGGCACAATGCCAGTGAGATGGTTGGCGCTTAGGTTACTGAGAGTGAGGATGGGTGGAAGGATTGGGGAAGAAGGATGGGGGATGGGATGGGTGGGGGGAGCGGATGGTGGGTGGAGATAGGGGAGGAGGTGAGCAAAGGATGAAGGCACAATGCCAGTGAGATGGTTGGCGCTTAGGTTACTGAGAGTGAGGATGGGTGGAGGGATTGGGGAAGAAGGATGGGGGATGGGATGGGTGGGGGGAGCGGATGGTGGGTGGAGATAGGGGAGGAGGTGAGCAAAGGATGAAGGCACAATGCCAGTGAGATGGTTGGCGCTTAGGTTACTGAGAGTGAGGATGGGTGGAAGGATTGGGGAAGAAGGATGGGGGATGGGATGGGGGTAGGGGATGGGGGGTGGAGATGGGGGGTGGAGATGGGGGGTGGAGATGGGGGAGGAGGTTAGCAGGGGATGGCGGAACAGTGCTGAGTGCTGGTGAGATGGTTGGCGCTTAGGTTACTGTGCGAGGGAATGGGTAGAATGGATGGTGGAGGGGATCGGGTGTGGGGAGGGGACGGGGGGGTTGGAACTTGGAGGTTGAGGCGAGATAAGCAAGGGATGGCGGGTCGGAAAGGAAATGGACACGCAATTTACAAAGCACTTGAGGAATGGATAAGCAGGGGCTTGGCTTCAAAGAAAGGAGCAACGGCGACCTGATTGATTAGGAGAGCTAGGGGAGTCGTTGATATATCTTGAGACGATTTTTGAGTCGACTCAAAAATCGACTCACTACACGCGAAAGGAACAACGGCGACCTGATTAGGAGAGCTAGGAGAGTCGTCGATACATTTTGAGACGACTCTATTATTTTCGGGTAAGTAATCGGAGGACGTACAATTTGGTTACGAGGGCGAGATTGCCAAGAGCTGTTGGTATGGTTCCGTTGAAGCTGTTGTCATCGAGCTCACTGGGGGGGATTGGTGGGCGTGGGGGATGGGGAATTGTGGGGGAGTGTGGGGAATGGGGATTGGGAAGTGGCAATTGAGAGTAGGAATGAGCTGCTGGTATGGTTCCGTTGAAGCTGTTGTCATCGAGCTCACTGGGGGGGATTGGTGGGCGTGGGGGATGGGGAATTGTGGGGGAGTGCGGGGAATGGGGATTGGGAAGTGGCAATTGAGAGTAGGAATGAGCTGCTGGTATGGTTCCGTTGAAGCTGTTGTCATCGAGCTCACTGGGGGGGATTGGTGGGCGTGGGGGATGGGGAATTGTGGGGGAGTGTGGGGAATGGGGATTGGGAAGTGGCAATTGAGAGTAGGAATGAGCTGCTGGTATGGTTCCGTTGAAGCTGTTGTCATCGAGCTCACTGGAGGGATTGGGAGGCATGGTGGGGAGTGGGTGGTGGTAGGGGTACGGTGGATGGGGTATGGTGGATGGGGTATGGGGATTACGTGTGGGGAACGGAGAATTCAGTATGGAATGTGGCTTGTCCGGTGTGGGGAATGGAAGAAGGAGGAATAATCGTTTATGGTACGAGGGCGGTCGGTCGGTCACAGAAGAATGGGGCAATGGACGAATGGATGGTATGCGGAATGGGGAACGGTGTGAGTGAGGCAACGAAAATGGGGATAGGAGAAAGGGACGGTGTACAGTGATTGTGTGCCAAGTGGTAACTGTGGAAGGGGCATAAGAGAAATGGGAATGAGAACGGGAGGTGCATGTTCCCCACACTACTCACAGTCGTACGAGAGCAGTCAATCGACCGAGAGTGGATGGTATGGGGATCAGGGAGTGGTGTGGGGGAAACGGGAGATTAAATCAGCACTGTTGGAAGCCTGGAGGGTATACTCACAGTCGTACGAGGGCAGTCAATCGACCGAGAGTGGATGGGATGCGGCCTGACAGACGGTTCCTGTGCACCCCACTGGAGGAAAGATGGTGGGGGGGATGCAAGGAGAAAGTGGAATGGGGGGAAAGGAAACGGGGATGGGGAAGAGATGGATTGTCGAGCTAGTTGCTCTCAAATCGCTAAACCGAGAGTTGATGGGAAGGGGCCCGACAGAGAGTCACTTCCTGTGCATCCCACGGGAGCCACAAATGGTGGGGCCGGGACAATGAGAGTGGATTTTTGAGTCGACTAAAAAAGAGAGTCACTTCCTGTGCATCCCACGGGAGCCACAAATGATGGGGCCGGGACAATGAGAGTGGAGAGTGGAGGACAAAGAAACATGGATGGCAAAGAGACGAAATGTTGAATCGATTGCTCTCAGCTCAATTGAGGGGGAATGGATGGTATGGGGCCCGACGGACAGACGGTTCTGTGCAATTCACTGAGGGGACAGGGGGGACAGCTTTGCCCTTACACACGCAGATTCACAATGCTTACAAGTTGCTCAGCTTGGTCAGGTCGCCGATTCCTTCCGGCAGCGAGCCATGCAGGCCTGTTAGACCCAAATGGCTGCAAGGGAAAGGAAGCAACCGGCAGATAGGACGGCACGGGAGGAAAGGGGAGGAAAACGGGAAGAAGAGAGTGGGAAGTCAAGAGTGGGCTTCAGGGTAACCCTAAACGTCTCACCCTGAAGCAAAGGGCAGAAGCACCAACAGAACCTAGTTTTGAGTCGACTCAAAACTAGGCTCATCACACACGGATTTTGAGTCGACTAAAAAAAGAGAGTGGGAAGTCAAGAGTGGAGTAACCCTAAACATCTCACCCTGAAGCAAGGGCAGAAGCACCAACAGAAACGGAGGTCCTGGATTTCATAAACCCATGCTTACAAGAGTTCCAGGTTGGTGAGTTGGGTGACGGACTCTGGGAAGGGCCCATCCATGTCCGCCCCTTGCAGCTCCCTGGGGGAGAAGAGGCAAGGGGAAGGGGGGAGAGGGAGGGGGTGAGAGGGGGGCAGTGACAAGGTTGGTGAGTCGAGTGACGGACTCTGGGAAGGGCCCATCCATATCCGCCCCTTGCAGCTCACTGGAGTGGGGAAGAAGGGAGAAGGGGGAAGGGGGGAGAGGGTGGGAAGAGGGTGGGGAGAGGATGATTGGCGTTTAAAGGTTGGAGAGTTGCGTGACGGAGTCTGGAAAGGGCCCGTCCATGTTCGCCCCTTGTAGCTCACTGGAGGGGGGAACGGGAGGAAGAGAGGGGGTGGAAGGAAGGGGTGAGCAGGTACAAAGCATTGGGTGTGCGGCTGGGTGACAGAGTCTGGAAAGGGCCCGTCCATGTTCGCCCCTTGTAGTTCACTGGAGGGGGGAACGGGAGGAAGAGAGGGGGTGGAAGGAAGGGGTGAGCAGGTACAAAGCATTGGGTGTGCGGCTGGGTGACAGAGTCTGGAAAGGGCCCGTCCATGTTCGCCCCTTGTAGCTCACTGGAGGGGGGAACGGGAGGAAGAGAGGGGGTGGAAGGAAGGGGTGAGCAGGTACAAAGCATTGGGTGTGCGGCTGGGTGACAGAGTCTGGAAAGGGCCCGTCCATGTTCGCCCCTTGTAGCTCACTGGAGGGGGGAGAGGCAGGGGGAAGGGGGGAGAGGGAGGGAGTGAGAGGGGGACAGTGATTGGCTTTCAAGGTTGGTGAGTTGAGTGACGGACTCTGGAAAGGGCCCATCCATATCCGCCCCTTGCAGCTCGCTGGGGATCAATGGGGGGAAGAAGGGAGAGGGGGGAAGGGGTGGTGGAGAAGAGGATGGGGAGAAGTGAGTTGGGTTGTGTTGGACTTAGGTGAGCAGGAACAGAGCAGTGGGTAGGAGTAGAAAGTAGAAACCAGCTGCCAATCTCGCCCCTCCCACCCTCACCCACCCCTCTCCACCCCTCCCCACCCCTCTTCCCCCTCCCCCGAATCCACCCCAATCTCCCTTCCTTCACCCCTCCCAACCCCTTTTTATCCCAGCAAACCCCTGCGCACGGGAAAGTGACCGCCTTCAAGTTGCCTAAATCACCGCGAATTGACCTATTGAGGTGGCAGTTGCCTATCTTGCCCCTCCATCCCTCTCCAACCCTTTCCATCCCTCCCCACCCTTCCCCACTTCCCCCGCACCACTCTTCATCCCTGCAAACCCATGCTTACAGGAAAGTGAGCGCCTTCAGGTTGCCTATATCACCGGGAATAGACCCGTTGAGGTGCCAGTTGCCTATCTTGCTGACAATAGAATCAAGGAAGGGAGAGATGGGTCATGGAGGTATGGAGGGATGGAAGATGAGTGATGGGGAGTCTTTCGGGACGCGGATTTCCCACCTATATCACCAGGAATAGACCCGTTGAGGTGCCAGTTGCCTATCTTGCTGACAATAGCACGAAGAGAGCGAGAGATGGGTCATAGAGGTATGGGGGGATGGAAGATGAGTGATGGGAGGCGTGGCTTTCCTTGTACTCACAAAGGAAAACAAAGTTGGGTAGTAGAGTGAGTGAGCGTGAAGGGTGTAGGGACGGAGAGCAGACGACCTTGTGTGAAGTAGAGGCAAAGGCTTCACTTGTACTCACAGAAGGACGAGGCTGGTGAGTAGAGTGAGCGTGTCAGGGATGGGCCCTTCAGAGGCGATGATGAGAGATGGGAAGTGGATGGATGCAAGATGAACGATGGGAAATGAGTGATATGTAGGGCGCGGTTTCCCCTAGACTCACAGCAGGACGAGGCTGGTGAGTAGAGTGAGCGTGTCAGGGATGGGTCCTTCAAAGGCGTTGGAAAACACGTCCCTGCAGGGATGGGTGGGAGGTATGTATGCACGTGGATCAATGGATGGATGAGCTGTTGCGAGCGCACACAGACATGCGTAATGTGAGGCATGGTAGAAGCAACATGCACATGTGTTTTTGCATGTGCATGTGCATGTGCATGTGCATGTGCATGCCAATGTGCGTTTATGCCAACCAAGAAATTTGCTCCTACCAGGCTCATTCCCCTCACCCTCATTCCACTGTCAGCCTTGGCACTCACAGGAAAGAAAGGTCGGATAGCGAGCCCAGGTAGTCAGGAATGGTACCGGAGAACTTGTTATAGGGTATGGAACTGGGAGAGGGGTGGGGTGAGATGAGGAGAGGTGGGTGGTCATTGCGGCTATTGAAAGCAAGGTACTCAGGAATGGTAATGGGGATCTTGTTATAGGGTATGGAGGACTTTTGAGGCGCCTCAAAAGTAGGGTATGGAGGTGAGAACGGGGAGGCATGCATGGGGTGGGGTGGGGGTGAACAAGAGATGGGTGGACATTGGGGATAGGTGTTGAGGGGGAGTGCAGTGCGGTAGACAGATTACATGCAAGGGGTGACAAGGATTGACAGTTGAGTCGCGCCAAAGATAAGGAGGGGACTGACAGGTACTGAAACGCTGAGAGAAACTGGAGTCCGGTAGGGGTAATTAGGAGCGACTTTTAGGTCGCGCCAAAGATAAGGAGAAGTGGACTGACAGGTACTGAAGCGCTGAGAGAGACTGCAGTGCAGATGGGAGAGGACCCGCCAGGGTGGTGTTGCGTATGGTGCTGGGGAGGGGAGGGAGGGGTGGGAGGGAGGGATGGGAGGGAGGTATGGGAGGGAGGGATGGGAGGGCAGCAGGGCAAGGGGGGAGTAAGGTGCTTGGCAAGGCCAAGAAAAGGCCACAATGGGCAGTGTTGCGGATTGGGGTGAGGGGAGGGAGTACGAAAAATCGGGGTGGCAGGAGGGACGGGAGGGGAGGGAGGGAGGGATGGGAGGGAGAGATGAGAGGGGGGATGGGAGGGAGGGATAGGAGGGCGGCAGGGCAAGGGGGGAGTAAGGTGCTTGGCAAGGCCAAGAAAAGGCCACAATGGGCAGTGTTGCGGATTGGGGTGAGGGGAGGGAGTACGAAAAAGCGGGGTGACAGGAGGGACGGGGGGGGCGGGAGGGAGGGATGGGAGGGAGGGATGAGAGGGAGGGATGGGAGGTAGGGATGGGAGGGAGGGATGGGAGGGAGGGATGGGAGGGAGGGATGGGAGGGCAGCAGGGCAAGGGGGAAGTAAGTGCTTGACAAGGCCAAGACAATGTCACAAAGGGCGGTGTTGCGAATCGGGGTGAGGATTGGGGGAGGGAGAAGACCCTTACAGTGCTGTGAAGGAGGAGAGGGCACTGAAGGCATCTGGAAGAGAGCCGGTGATGGGCGTGTCTGTGATGGTCCTGAAAGGGTTGAAGGGGGGGAATGGTTGGAGGAAGTTTTGAGAGTCGCCTAGGGCCCTTACAGCGCTGTGAGGGAGGAGAGGGCGCTGAAGGCGTCTGGAAGAGACCCTGTGATGGGCGTGTCAATGATAGTCCTGGGGTGCGAAGAAGAGGGAGAGAGATGGTTGGTTGGGGGGCCGGGAAAGAGGTGGGGAAGGAAATCGGGTTTGAGGGAGGAGAGCGGGTTGATGGCATTTCAACGGAACCCGCTGATGGGCGTGTCTGTGATGGCCCTGGGGTGGATAGAAGAGGAGGGTGAGGAGGAGAGGGTAGAGAGGGCGCTGAAGGCGTCTGAAAGAGACCCGCTGATGGGCGTGTCAGTGATGGCCCTGGCCCCTGGGGAGATGGAGGATACACAGGAGGTTGAATTTTCGCCCTGTTTACATGATTGGATTTGTTTTCACAATCTTGCACGTTGCTGACTGTCCATTCATATGTACTTCGCACATCCTAATAGTGTAGTGTAGTGTAGTGCAGTACAGTGCAGAGATGTGCATCACATGGTTCAAGATTATAACGAGTCAAGAGTACATCAGTCTCACATGCTTGTAACGAAGCCATCCGCGGTGCATGAGAGCCACGTGGCGTTTCTACAGTCCCATCCAGCCGTTCCTCCCCCAGGGGACTCAACACCCCACTCCAGCAAGATCTGCTCCAATGCAAGCGCTGAAAAAAAAAAGGAGATACAAACATAACTCTCAGGTCAGCTCAGAAACTATCTCCCAGGGGAGTCAACACCCCACTCCAGCAAGATCTGCTCCAATGCAAGTGCTGCAGGAAGGAGGGGGAGATACAAATAAACCTAACAATTTAAGGTAAATTCTGGTAAGCTCAGAAACCCTCCCCCAGGGGACCCAACACCCCACTCCAGCAAGATCTGCTCCAATGCAAGTGCTGCAGGACGGGGGGGGGGGAGAGAAACACCGAAAACTTTTTGAGATGACTTTCAGTCAACTCAGAAACCGTCCCCCAGGGGAGTCAACAACACCCCACTACAGCAAGAGTTGATCCCGTTTGGTGAAAAGGGAGATGCGAACGAAACATCAACATATCTCTTCTCAAGGCGCGTTGTGCAAAATTCGGTCCTGCCTTTTCAAGGAGTTGCCTTTACTGAAGGACAAGGTTCAACACATGGTTCTAATGCATGGTTGCACCCATCCCATGCATAGTTGCACCCATCCCATGCATGGTTGCACCCATCCCATGCATGATTGCACCCATCCCATGCATGATTGCACCCATCCATGCATGGTTGCACCCATCCCATGCATGGTTGCACCCATCCCATGCATGGTTGCACCCATCCCATGCATGGTTGCACCCATCCCATGCATGGTTGCACCCACCCATGCATGATTCAATGCATTTAGTTCAGTACAGTACATCGTCGCGGTTTTAGAGATCCTCAATACTCATTCCGCTCGTTATTACATCGTCGAGCTCGTACCCTGTGAGTTATCAAGCGGTTGCGCGTTTGCCGCCGTCAAGTGCGGCGGGCCGAACCAGCCTGCCATATGGAAAAACAGCGCGAGAAACAGAATCGTCGCCGGAGCCATCCGTTTCTCGATATTGCCGCCGGGAATTACGCGATTAGTCGTGGTACTCGACGAACCCCTTGAAGAGGATTTTGCGATTGCGCGTCGGAGCGCGCTGGTTGGATGGTCAACGAGAATTCTGAAGTATTCAATTGCTTGTTCAACGTCTCTTGAGGACGTCAACGGTATATGCAGGGAATTATCCTGCTTGTTCACGCATACAGGAATACCTAGTATTGCCTCGTCTCAGAAGAAGCCTTAAAGATTATTGCGAATATTAGGAAATCACTTTCGGCATTACGAAGGCAAAGTGACTGAACGTCATGCCAGGGTTGGAAGGGGAAGTCAAGATGGAGTCTATAATGCTGTAGGTAGGAGTGGCCGAGAAACCAGAAGTGCACGGGCAATGTTGAACGACAGAGCTGCTAAGCTCTTTGAGAGCTATGCGTCTGCTTGAACCAATCTTGCGACAGCCAAGGCATGGCGTCGCCATTGCTGAAATCAGCCTTCGCAATGCTGGCAATGGAGACATGGTGTGACTCTGACGAACGTGACACAGTTCTACAAATGAAGCCTTTCTGGGGGAAAATGAGGTGGTGTATGAAAGACTTCTTCTGAAGGTGAGCTGGAGGCGAGCTGGAGACAAGGCGGAGGCAAGATGGAGGCGAGGTGGACGTGAGTGGGATAGGAGAGCCAATGCTTTGATGTTGCGGAATTGGCAGGGGTCGCCTGGAGTCTTCGAGGTCAGAGCTTACAGAGAGTATGGTTTGGTCTGAAGTTGATACACGATTATTTTGTAGTGATAAATCAAAATATTGGTACTATCATGACAGTACAGGCTGTTGCTAAAACAAGACATAACATTGAAACATGTCACACAATTAATGAACATGATTTTTTGTAGAAATAATATATTACCATCAGCTCTTTGAAAAAACTAGTTCTGCAAAGAATGTTGGAATAACCGAAAGGTTATCACTAGCATTCCCGAAGACTCTCCACCATCGCGTCTCTCCATAGCGAAGCAGACGCCTGTACCAGTACCGCATGAGCTCATATAGAGCACACGGAAGATCGAGGGTCACCCGAAGGTCAACAGTCGAAGACAAGTCAACGGTCGTGACCCTTGACTGCCCAGTAACCGCACAAGGCAGTTACAACATGATAACTGTCTTGAATAGCAATAGTCGTGGGTTACTGTAGCAATGCAATTCAGTTAATAAGGGAATGTACCCCTCAGAGTACATGGCTAGCTAGGCTTGCTATTTATACCCTTGTACTCTTATCTTATATTCATCTTGTTCTCTTTCAAATTATCAACAATGTCATTACAGAGACTTTACAAGCTCTCTTCTATACTTAGCAGCTTTATTCTATCCACTACGATCTTTCGGTTATAACATCAAAGAACATTCATGAGATGTGGAAATCCTTCAGTTTCAGTGCAGAATTGAGTTTTCATAACAATCTAAAAATGATAGACGTAGATTGATTTAAAATCAGCACAGAATTTGCGGCTGCAAATTGTAAGGCTACCTGTTTCATTAGGTGAATCAAACAGGAATAACAGTTCATTGTCTGAGTCTAAGAAAACATGTAAGAAATGTGATGTATTCAGGTGTGTGTGCTATTTTTAATGCGGATTTAGCAAAAACAGCGTTTCTGTTTGTTCATGAACAAGTGACACGACAATCTCCGATCGGGTGGTGCCGCAATGCTACTTGAGGCCAGCCACAAATTGCAATGCAATTATGTACATCACAGCAAAGGGAATTGGTATGGAAGTGGTTGGTGTGGTCGCCACAGCGACGCTCAAGGCGCGGTGCCGCTAGTCAATAGGCGGTGTGGATTCGTGGAACTGACCTGCCCCAACCTGACTTCCTGAGACAGCTGTCGACGTGGCACTTTCTGCATGGTATCGGACGCAGCGTCCCTGCTGGGCTCATGGAGGTGGTTGAACATGCCAGTGAGAATTTCGCTCTGCGTTCGCTAACGTCTCCGGCTGGTTTGGAATCTGCGAGATGTGCGCGATGCGAAGCGCATATTCTCCGCATCCTTTCGCGGAAGTACCCATGCTTAGCGAAGACACACACACAGCATGCACACCAAATCGTGTGGAGCTGTGTATTGATCGAGATTAGACCTGCGAAACTCAAAGCTTGATCCAAGGGCTAAAAACGAGCCACGATTTTCTTGCGACGTCGTTAACCATACCGCTACCGCGTGGTTCGTATGCATCCGAACCACCTAGCCCCTGTTTTGACGGAACCTCAGCCTCGATCTCCGTCACTTGTTTTGATCACGGCCTTTGAACGAATCATCGTTTGCCACCTAGTCTCATGGTCGAGTGCTCACCCCTGGTTCCATCTTCCCGTCATCCACTTCCCACCTTCCTCCTCCCAGCCGCACAACCAACAGCTCCCGCATCTTTGGTTTCTCCCCGACATTCCCGAGCGCTTTCCCCTCACCACCTCCGCTCATCGACCTGCTTTCCCCTTTCTGCTTCCGCCGCCCTGAAGTCAGTCTGCGACTCTGCGCTCTCGCTCCGGCGCACTCCCCTCCCTCCCTGCGCCATCCGCCACCCCTGAACCGCCAGCCACTATTGTCAATCTCCCTGCGCCTCTCCGCTCCAATCCCTCTTCGGTCTCAGCGGACAACGGACTCCCTCCAGGGAGCTTGCTGCCCGGGTACGAAAAGCATGCGACATAGGGACAAGGTGTCTAGGAATGTTGCCCCGCCCGACGAGGGAAATGTCAACTCACAAACAATCCCGCCCAGGAAAACCGCTGCCCGGAGCAGAAAAAAACTAAACCCGTTGAGATTTTCCGCACTAAGCTGCGCTGTCTATTAAATACCAATCCAGCTTCGTGTGTGTTTGTCGACGAGGCTTTGCAAAGTCTGCTTGCTATTCCGCTTTCTGAGGTCCATCAAATTTCAGACCGTCACGCTCGAGCTTGCTCGACTCGCCAGTCAATTTCCTGAGCCTCAGCCCACTCGCCTGTTTTGCAGCAATTGGAGTGAGACTCCAGCCTCAAGTGCTTGTGCTTATTCTAGTCACCAATTGGAGCTGAAGACTCTGATCTGTGTATAACGCAACGAGCTTTCGGTCACATTCCAATTCTGTGGCTGGTGCAGACGCTTCAGTCAGAATCCTTCCCTTTTACTTGAGCAACCAAACATCGCTCGTGTGGCCGCGATTCTCGTCGCCGTGATTCGCGCTCCTTGTAATCCCCACGCGACCGCACTGGCCAGTCCCTCGGGGTCTGGTCCGTGCAAACACATTGGCCACCACGGCGTTTACGGCGGGTAACGCGGGAAACCGATACGCACACACGTTCCAGCTGGAGACCGCGGGAAAGCTGTGCCTGGGCGCCGTTTCCGCGCACGGTGGTAGGGGAGCTCTTCCGTCTGAGGGGGGAAGTCCCTCGGACCTCCTTTTTCTGGCAGGAGGAGGAAGCGTCACTCCCGTGTTCGTCGCAGACTGAACCGCGGCTGTAGTTATATTTTTCTGCTCGAGTCGCTGTTTAGCCTGCTTAGGGTTCCCTGAGGTACATTTAGGGAGGGAAACTGCGAAGAAACCCGCAATCGTTTTCAGTGGAGGGAAGTGTTAGACGCTTTCTGAAGCAGCTTAAGTTCCTCGGAGATTCTCCGACACTCTTTCGTCGTCACGATGCTGACGATTAAGAAGGTTCCGACAGTGGTCTCCCTGAACCAGGAGGAGGACCAGCCCGCGGGTTGCGGTCGCCGCTGTCTGAATACCTGCTGCACTATTGGTACGTCCCACCTCTGGATCCCACTTTCCTATCCCACTTCCCGATCCCACCTCCCGATCCCCCCTTTCGATCCCACCTTCAGACCCACGTTCAAACCACCCCCTGCTGTCTTTTATTACGGTTTGCTGGTTCAATCACACACTCGGTTTCCGGACCACTTTGGACCACGCGTGTGACTCCTATACTTAGAACCCATTCTCAATTCGCTAACCCTATATTGCCACTTCAACATTCTTGCATCCTCCTTCTATAT